CAATAGGGAATGGAAACTGTCCCAAGCATCGGTTTTGATGTATTTATGGCTGCTTTTAATGTAAATCTAAGTTTTCAGTGCTAACCGTCCAAGCTTGCAGAGCATTCTCTCCTTCTACCACCATATTTTTGGCAAAAGTCAGAAACAAATACATTCACATTTCCTACTCCTTTGTCTCCAGTACCCTAAAGGGATGAGTGGGATCTGGAATTGGATGGAAATCTGTGGCACTTGCTATTCACACTTTAGATTGCAGTTGTAGCTGTGCGTATCTGAGCAGCCATCCAGATGCTAATGGAGCTGCTCCTGTGTCAGTAAGATCAGTGAAAGGCCTCCACTGTTTAATTTTTGGATATTTATTGGCTATAATTCAAAGGGCCAACACATACTGAGATATCAAGGAAAATGTCTCTTTTGGCTGTGTTAACAGCAATGTTCTAAGATAAAGCTGTTGGTTTAAAACATGACCTATTTTCACTTTGTACTAGTATTCCTAACTGTCCTGAAAATAAGGATGTTTATACAATTTTGCAAAGAAACGTGAACTGTTCTACTCCATTTACATTTCTTTGTTCCAAAATGTATTCCTCTTGTTGAGATTCCAGCAGACAAGGAAAGCAGACACAGCGGTTACTTTCCAACGTGAAACTTAAAACCACAATCTCCTGCTCAGAAAACACAGAATGAGTCACAGGAAGGGGCCACTTGCTTGCAAAACTCATTAAAAGCAAGGCACGGCAAAATGGATTTCCTGTATCAATAAATAGATTGCTGGCAGCAGGCAGAACACCTGACAGTGCTGGAGGCTAAAAACTGGTCCAAGGGTAACCATTAGAAAAGCCAGATCAATTCTTCAGCTCAGAAACTGTATCTCCCCAGTACAGAGTTTTCTTGGCATTAGTTGGCTTAATCCAGTAAAGTGCTTAAGAATATGCATAAATTTCAGTGCAGGGAGCAGTGACTTAAGCACATGCTTAAATAGGCTGATAAATTATGTATTTATTTTCTGAAGCAATCCTTATTAAAAGGATGCATGCATGGAACTAGAGGGGTATATAAACTGCAGGTGAAAGTTTTGTTTCCCAGGTTCATGAAAATAATAAGCTCTAGTGCTTACCTAAGCTTAAATTTTAGCTTGAATTGCAACTTTGTTTTGCTGTTAGCAAGTACCCCTTGGACACTTAAGCACAGATTTCCTTTTGGTCAATGCTATTCTCTCCTGTTTGGCAAGTGAAGCCAAAATGGCCTTCTCACCTCTTCTGTGCAATGCAGACATGCAGGATTTCAGGCAAGACTGCTTAAGAGGCAAAAGGCAAAACTCAGCACCTGACCTGGTACTGCTTAGGTTCAGTACTAGGGTTGAAACAAGAAGCTGCTTTTTGGCCACTCTTTTCATTCCCTTTCTCTAGTTCCTCCTAGAAGAAAATTAAGTTCTCATTTTGCCTTTATCTTTCTCCCTCACATCCCAGTGGCTGGAAGGGTCTTGAGGAGGATCTCTTCCCCAAAGCATCCAGCTGCTGCAACTCCTCTGCACCACTGCTGGGTTTTCTTTAAAGCCAGTTTCTCATCTCTCATTTACAAACAGCCCTTTCCTTGCCTATCTCCAACACACTACAGAATAAAAGGAAGGGCTGGATTTTACTGCAAGCAAAAGAGTTAGGACTACCTGAGGTTGTGGCACTGTACTTCCTTCACCACCCTAGTTTGCTGGGCTTTTATGAAAAGAAAAAAGAAAATCAACCAAAAAGAAAACCCACACCAAGAACAACATCCAGGTTTCATCTTTTATGCATTCACAGAAGTGTTGAAACTGCTATTAATTATATTTTTAGGCACTGGCTTTTAGCACCAACCGTCTTCTGCTTCTTGCAATGAACTATCCTGAGGTACATGATGGCATCTGCAATGCATATTGAACTAAGACAATTTATTTCTGAGGAAAAAAAATGATGTTGCATTCTGGGAATATTCTCTACCTTCCCCATGCCATCAAGAAAACCCCAACAACTTCCTGCTCTTTGCTCTGCAGGAGGCTTGCTCCCTCAGACATTTCTACCTCCAGTGTTAACGGGATATTCCAGGAGCAATGAATATGTCCTTAGAAAGTTCAGCTTGCTGATGCAAAAGCACCATTTCTTTGACTTTTAATTAAAAAGGCACCTTCATTTCAAAGCCTGTCTCCAGAGCTCCAGTGTAAATGTTTGTACAAGCCAGAGACATACAGAAAATAGAGAAGACTGAAGAATCAGTGACTGCAGGCTGTCCAAATACGGCTGCTTTTGTATTTTTAACACAGAACTTGAGTTGCTGCAGAGCCTTATCAACCTCAAACATCTTTGTTTTCATACCAACTAACACAAGCCCAGCAGTATCACTACACTGCAGTTAGTTTGCTCAGCAAACCTGGCTGAGGGAGCAAAAGGCAGCGCTCTGTTCACACAGACAGGAGGAAAGGGTGTTTGCTTCTCACCAGCAGAATGGCCAATGTCAAAGAAGAGAAGGAAAAATAAAAGGCTATCTGGTCTCATAGCCATGAATGACAAGACTCCCATTCAAAACATATGGCTAGTTTTTCCTTAGGTCACACCAGGCATTAGAGAAAAGGAAGATTCAAAAAAATTCAGTAGGGTAGGATTCTTGACAGGTCCAATTTGCTCCAGTTCCCTTCTGGTTGGTCTTGGCTCCTTGGTGCTGTTCCCACACCCCAAAACAGCCAGAACCTAGATTCTGGCCCTGTCTCAATAAATTCTTTCCATTTGAAAAGGCTCTGGGTCAAAGGCTGCAGGTGATCATCAAAAGTGTTGCAAATGCTGGAAGTTACACCAGATAGTCCCAGTAAGAGACACACAATTGAGACTGAAGCTACAAAAGCCACGCTTTACAGTTTCAGCAGTTCTGCAAAAGCACTCTGCTTTTATCAAAGCATATAGGAAGATACAAAAGTCAGAAAAAAATTTATATTTGCCTTTATTACAATATATATTTCTATCCTTGTCGCATTCAACAGATCAAAATGAGGTGTTAAAATTTTCATCATTGCAGTAGCACATACATATACACTGTAAATACTGTATATAAATAGGCTTTAAAATAATAATCCATATCTACAAATAAAAAATACCCAATAACCTGTCTCTCCTCCCTCCCCAAATTACAGCAGTAACGTTTTATCTTCAACATAACTAATGCAAAAAGTATGGTATACTTTCCCTCACATGACACAGCTGGAGCAGTATGGTCATCAGCTTCAAGAAAATAAACATTAGTCACTCCTCACTGCTGTATATTCTAGTTTGTGTATTGTATAAATAGAATATACTGTGATTTAATGTCTGCATATTTATGTTAGCCAAATATTCTTTCTGTAACAGAAACCAGGATTACACTGCAAGCAAAGGTGAATACTTTTTTCTTTCACAGAAAGAGTAGGAATTTGTTAAACCATCTCTTTTTCTTCTACATGACTTAACAAAGCAGTTTAAATATTATGCATAAAGTTGCTTAGCTACCCAATCAAAATGTCTTACAGTCTGAAAAAGTATGGTAATGTTTCTAGCAGGTCAAAACTTTGATTTTCACAAGTGTCTTTTCTGTGAGAAAATTCGATAAACATTAGTTAAGGAAACACACATTCACTTCACTGTTCAGCTATATTTCAACTTTCAGATACAAAGGGGTATACAGCATGTCAGAAGTAAGGCGTTTAACTTCACAGAATCACAGAAATGTTGGTGAGAAGGGACCCCTGGAGGTCATCCAGTCCAACTTCATGCTTGAAACTGATGATTGCCAACATTAGATCAAGTCAGCCATAGCTCTGTTTAACAAACCTTGAAAAACTCCAGGATGGAAATTCCACAGCATCTCAGGGTTACATTCTGTACCAGTGCTGCACTACACCTACAAATCTGACAGAACTATAATGACCACTCATTCACACTGTCATTTGATTTGAAGTACTAATGGCAACAAACCACCCTGAATTAGTTATTTATTAAATTATAAATAAATACATCACAGGCTTTAATTGTGGAGAACTTTCAGGGACCATCTTTTCTGGTGTAAGCTACTGTGTGTGGTACCTTAGGAAAACAGATCTTTACTGTTAAGGATAAAGGCCACAAAACTGACAGCCTCTTCTGAAGAGAAGCATTGGTTTAGTTTTACTTTTACTTTGCATAATAAATGGATTGAAATAGGCTTTTACCAAAACTGAATTAAAATAGGATGCAGTTAGTATATTAATCCATTTATTCAATCATTAATTACAAGTATTATTAGATACTTAAAGGAAAGTGTGGCTATATTTAGAAATGCAGCCATCTCAGTTTGGCAACCTGCAATCCACACTGATTGTCTTTCAGAAAATCCCTATCACATTTCTTCCATCTTTAAGTAAAAAAATATTTGCATTTTCTTTAAACTTTCATGAGAGCATAATCAGTCTGGGTTGTTAAACATACATTTCTTCTTCTTCGTATTTGTCTAATCCTGGTATCTCTTAAGTGGACATGCCTCTTACCCAAATCAGCAATGTTCATGTGAAAAGGAAGACCTAGGGAGGGCTCACCACTGCACACTGCAGCTGTATAAAAGGATTGCACTTGTATTCGTTACTACTGAAGGCACAGAGAAATCATAAATTGGCCCCCTGACATCCCAGATAAAGTCTGCAGCACTAAAAGTTAGAAAACGCCTACTATAGAATCACCATCCTACCTATCACTCTTAACATGCAAAACAGAATCTGTTGAAACAGGACAAATGTGACAGAGCAGCTGTTCCCAAGCTTTTAGGTGCTAACTGACCACAGTCACATCTTGAAATTTCTCCTGGACCACTCTGCCTTCCTATTATTAAACTCGTAACTGAAAACACTACAAAGCAGCTGCAAAACATGTACCACAGCCTCGCAGGTCACAAGCTGGCAGAGACCACAGCTTGTGAATCACTGTTTTAGCCATCCTGAAATACAATATACATGGAATCCCATGATGCCATTTTCAGCGTTTCAGAGAACAATTAGACTTTTAATATATTTTAAAAAGGAAAAAAAAAAAGTTCTTTCTTAGCTACAAGCACATTTGAGAATCATTTGGCATATGGTCACTTGATGTCTACATTTTAAGTACCACATTGTGTAAAGGCAGACCATTTGGAATACATTATCAACTGATCTGCAGTATTGCTTTTAGTACGCACAGTCAAGTCTTAAGGCTGTCAAAAGCAGGTAGCAAAAACAGTATCTACAGCTTGTGTCTGGACAAATAAAAGAAAAAAAAAGATGAAAGAGGAGATTTCATTATCTTGGAGGAGAGTAAATTGCACTAAAAGTATCCATACTTTATGATACAAAACCGAAGAAAAAAATCCATACAGTAAAAACCTGAGATGCATCATTCACCAGCATCAAAGTTCACATTTTAGCCAAAATTATGTTTCAAATAAAACTATTCCATTTTGACAAAATCCTTAGTGTTCCCGGCTCAATAACAATCTTGAAACTCAGCACATTCTGTGGGTAAGATGTCGTTACTGAAAATCACTGACTTCACTGAGATGGGAACTATGCACTGTAGCCTGTATCTTCCACTTGCACACTTACCTTAATCCAAATAGCTATTCTTGAAACATGGTACTTCTCAAATTGAGAAAGACTGCCAGTATCTGGACATCTTATTTCATTTGCTTTCTATTTAGATTACACATCATTTATTTCCTCTGAGAAGTGTTACCGTGTCAAACCAACAGGCTGGAATAAATAAACACAGCTCAACTGGCTTAGATATCTACACCGGCTTACAACAGCTAGACCAGTAATTAACTCTTAAACAGTTGTTGGTCAAGCAATGGGAAAGAAGAAGAATCATTTGCTCCTTCAGAGAAAGGAATTCTGACATATGGATTGCAATCCCTGTCCGTGTCACCAGATGATGTCAGGAATGGTGAGCATCTTCAACTCCCTTACTTACAAGGTGTTCCGATGAGATAAAAGATGACTTCAGTGATGCAGAAAAGATACAGAACCACTTTATAACCTTATGGCATGTTTAACTGCAACACCAATATCACTTTTATTTGATCTTAAATAATGAAACTGTACGGCACAATTTGAGGAGCTGGGTGAGGAACTAGAAATGTAACTCCTATTCCTAGTAAGACTCCTTATCATCTGGAAATGTGACTATGAAAAAGCATTTCTAAATTTGCTCACAGCAAAAGAATACAATGCTCACGATGTCACCTACTCCAGTGGAACTGTCAGCAGCAAAAGCCAACAGGTGCCCTTTCAATACAAAGCTAACTCATTCTTTGAGCTGAGGCCAACAGTTTGGAGATGCAGTTAAGATGAAGCTGGCTGTACATCCTGAGTTTCAAAAGGTGGTAGCGGTTCTCTCCAGTAGGTGAACTGACTGTAGGTATCCGAACAAGGGAAATCTGAAGAATGGCTTCTTCTCAGCAAAGGGAAAATGTGATCTACCACTTCACAAAGTCTGACATAGCTGGAAAATAAACAAGTAAAAAGAATGCTGAGCCATTTCAGATCTTCTTACTTTGGATTTTTTTAAGTCCCCAACCACTAAGGCATGGCTTCTCTTGCATGGACAAGTCATCCTCCTCAAATGAATAAAACTGAACCCAACTTTGGTGCCTAGCTTCCAAAGAAGATTCACAGTTTGGATAAGAAATCCATTCCTTCTAAGCAATATTTACCTAATAAGAAACAGATGCCATTTTCCACCTAGATCACCTGATAAAATATTCAATCCCCATATTCTGTTTCTCCATTTTTGTCCAGCTTGGCTCAAGCAGCTCCCTGCTCAATTGATTACTTGTATTTTATACACATATGGCTCCCACTTCAATTAAGGACACTCTGAACATTACTAAAGGCCATCTCCATTCAGTGCTAGGTGCTACAGTGCCTAAGCATCTTGCTGGAATCCTTCAGCCCTGTCTTCAGGTTTTGTTTGCTGGCTCTTCTAGACAGGAGCTCCAGGAAAAGGAAGTTTTTGAAGAGGCCATGAAAGCGCAGATGGCTTCAGGAAACTAGATAGTCTCATTTTTATGCAGACTAAAACATACACTGATAATTCCTTTATATGATTAAAGAAGATGGAATATATTAAACTAAATACTGAACCATTTCTTTTTGTTAGGTTTTTTTTATCAGTTTAACTGAAGGAAAATGGAAAGTATATTTTATTCTAAATTTTTTATGTTTGCTTGAAATATTCTAAGAAATCTTTCATTAGTAAAATCAAATGTATCTTTGGGCAACTTGAGTCATAAATTAGAACAGCAAATTAGTTTAGAATGTGTTAGGGTAAGAGATTACTTACGATGAGATGTTTGTCTTTGCATGCTCTTGTATAAGTTCTCCTTTGGGGTTAACTGTAAATATCCTGTTTAAAGAAACCCCCACCTGTTTGTATGAATAAACATCCTAAACAGAAGAGAAGAAAAAAAGAAAAAAAAAAGAAAAGAAAAATCATGATTCTGCCTTTGCACAATAATGTTTATTATTGCTGGAATATATTACACAGAAGAACATAATTGCACAGTATCGGTACTAAATTTACCTAGTTATTGTATATCTGAAATTCTCCAATATGCCACAAACGAAGTCAGTCTAACAAAATGCTCATGAAACAGACAATTTGCAGCTAGGCAAGGAGTTTGCCACTTCAGTTTAAACTACTGATCAAAATCATGTTCATTTTTTTAATAATGTCCCTTGACACAAAAATAACATTCAATAAAAATACTAATGATATTTGGTGTAAAATTTGCACTTTCATTCTTCTTTCAGAGAATATTTCATTTCCTGAGTCCATTGTACTGAGTATCCTGCAGCAGTGTACATAGGTTAAAACATAACTGACATGTAAAATAGTGATTAGTTTGTAAGGACAAGGTCACAAAAGGAAGTCATAACAACTGTGTCTACATTAAAACCCCTGGAAACATCTCTTAGCTCCTGAGTTTGGATTTGTGACATACTCATATATTGACTCCATGTCAGAGCAAGGGGGGAAGAAGGGAAAGAAAAGAATATATGTCAAAATAGCAGCAGGGAGCCCCAGTAGGTAATGCAGATCCAACTCTGGGAAATACAATTAGAAGCAGGAATTAAGAATATCTTCTAAGAAAATCAAATTGTTAAGGAAAGCAGCAAATAAGTTTTGATCCCTTCTAAAAAGAAACTTGACAAAAGGAAAGATGAAAATAACTCTCAAAAGATCAGAGAAAAAAAAAAAAAGCTTCCATTTTACTAATATAAATCATTGGATATTATTTTAAAAGCTGGGGTGGCGAAAGATTGGCATGTTAATAAAGATATAAAGGTTATTTTGATCTCTATATTGTAAAGACTGTCCCAAAAAACTTAAGTAACTGAACAAGAGTGAACAGCAGTGACTTAAAGAATTCAGCATCCTGGCAGTCCACACCTGTGACATCCATGAGTACTGAAATAAAAAAAAAAAAAAAAAAAAAAAAAAAAAAAAAAAAAAAAAAAAAAAAAAAAAAAAAAAAAAGCGCCAAAACAAGCAGCACAGAAATTTGAGAAAGAGATGATCCCGATCATCCCAAAGCCAGTGGCACATCTCATACCTGAAGACTGCACTCCAGCAGTGATCAGAGGAGTTACCAGTAATTCCTTTAGAAACATTGTTGCTGCTTTACTTGAAGTTTCATTGAAGTACCCATGAAAATAATTATTTTATTTCCCTGAGGTTCAAAAAAACGGAACCAGAGGTAGACATCATCCATAACACAAAACCACAGAAGTGTTTAAAAAGTTTTATCAGAACCATATGTCTAAATGTACCTTGATAATGGAAATTAAGCTGTATGATATAACAACTTAATGTAGCAGCTGGACAGTGAGGAACTCCCATCCTCTCTGACATAATGCTTCTAAAAATGTAGTTTTGCTAAAAAAGTGAAACTGAAAAAGTTACTGCTAATGAATGTCAGCAACTCTAAAAAAAAAAAAAAAAAAAAAAATACCAGAGATGTGAAAACAAAGCCCCACCATAAAGGCATGCTGAATCCTCTCAAATGTAGCAACAACATTCATGGTTTCAGTGCCAAAATATCTTACCAGGCACATCTGTCCAACATTTAGGCATCTAAAGTGCCCAGTCTCTGAATGTCCATATTCGAACTGGTAGTGGCCTGTGTCCACATTTATACTGATAATTTCCCCAAGCTATCAACATTTCTGCTATAGTGAACATATCTCAACTCTTACAGGGCTGAGCAGCCAGGGCTGGAGTTCACAGTCCTTGGAAGCCTTTAGCTCTCCTGGACTCAGTGAAGACAGTCACCTAGCACCTGAATTACTCTCCAGACATGTCCCATTTTCTCCACCAACTAGAGACACGGGTAACCAACTGAAGTCTTCTCTTGCTAATCATACTAGGAAATATGAAATGTCAAGGGCCATTCTCTCAAGACCAAATGGCATGGACAGGATACAGGTATACAGTTAAGTGGGCTTTGCTTCCAAAACAGGGTGGATATAACCCAGGGTGCATGCCAACAGTCCTTAGCCATAAGGAAATATTACCTGCCAATACAAAACTGGAGGAAGTACCAAACACTCTGTGGAGCTCCTGGGCACAAATAAGGGGCTCATCTGCCTAGTTTAGTTCGCATCTAAACTTATGTGCCCAGTGAAACTGTAAACATCTAAAGAAGAAGGTTTTTTATATATTCCCTTCTGCTTTCAGAGATCTTAAGTGAAACTAAGCTTCTGTTTTTCCTTAGGCACCTATAATGATACCTATACCAGTAAATTAAACAGTTTGATTGCCCATTCTCAGAGATGGAAGTCTCTTGACATTGTGTCAGTTTTATTAAACTCTCTATACCCCTCCCATCAAAAAACCCCCAAAACCCCAAACAAAAAAACCCAACCCAAAACCAGCCCACAACAGAAGCCAACCCCCCACCCCCTCAGCATAGATATATCAAACACGCGTTGGGAAGAGTCCATTCCCCATACTAACAGATCAATCATATCCAGGAATTGCCTGGAAAACTGCTAGCTGCCTGTGTCAAAACAGTCTCTTGGATCATGCTAACAATTTAAAAGACAGGATAATCACATGCCAGTGTCCCTGCCTGTGTCCTGGCCCCTGAGACTGTTTCCTCTTCTGGATGCATAAAAGTATTCTTTGGGCTAGGACAGGTGTAAGAAAAGCCTAGAGCCCAATTATATAGCCTTCAAATGGGTGACAGACACATATCTTCCCCTCTCGATGTCGAACAACATACCACTTTCCATACAAAGTGTAACCTTTTGATTTCAGTGGGACATCCAAGTTCTTCTGAATGTACTTAGAGTTTGAGTCAAAGACCCACCAATATTAATTTGAAAGACTTTCTGTCTGTCCAGAGGTATTTCACTGACACTATCAGTGTGAAGTAAAATGAGATCGGTGTTTTCATACAAGCTTAAGGATTTTTTACATAGTTAGGATTTTAACCAGTATTTACAGTTAGGCTAACTTATGCAGATATAACATAGTTACTTTGCTGCACATTTATCTCTCTTTGTATCCTACATTGTGAGGTCTTTAAGGAAGAACCTTTATATCTTCCTTTGTACAGGGCCTAATAAAATATTCTTAACTCCCATTTAAAGCTTTTAGGTTCTAATGCAACAGACCTAAGAAATAACAGCAACCTTTCTGTTCTCTGCAATAGAAATAAATTCAGCTATTACTTACAGCAGGTCTGTTTCCAAAAGCAGCATAAAAGGGTTCTGTGTTAGGATAAAACAAGTTTTTGATGTCTGTCAAACACTGAACTTTAAATTTTTCTGGCTTCTTTTCTATCACCTCTCTGAAATGATAAAAAAGGGAGGCTGAATAAGTACACATGAAATACAGCAGAAATGATTTTATTTTCCTTATTCAACATTTTTCACCTAGCTAGATACTCCTACAGAGTCCCCATCTTTTTCCAAGATATCTTCATAAATTTTCATCTTTTTTAAAAAAAAAAAAAAAAAAAAAAGAAGTGCAATTACCATGTGTGCTAGAAGCACCTCAGCCTGTTAAAATACTTCTACAGTCAGGGTCCTCCACCACTGCTAATTACCAGAAGTTAAGGAATAAAGGAATCTTCTATTTCTCCTCAGTTGATCCTTACAGTACACAGAATTCATTAATGAACAGAGGAGTTCTCATCTCTGGGCAAAAGCCCTTTCACAACAGCTTCTCTTGGCAAGGAGACTGAACAGGTGGCAGAGTCTGGAGTTCCCATAACATAGGAAGATGCCAGCATGACACAAAAGCCCTTAAGAAGCTCAGAATCTCACATCCTAGCACCAACACATATGTCAAGGAAGATGTGAATAGTACAGAAGCTTCATAGGAGTAATACAGCCCTTTGGAACAGCAGCACCATGTATAAACCAAAGTTTGAGAATGTGCAAAAGAGGAATAAAACCATCTTTCCTGAGTCTCACATGCACCTGATCTCAGAGCCCTCAAAGTCACAATAATTACATCTAAAGATAACAATGAATTAATTTATTGCCTACACATCACAGCAGTTACAATAGTGTACACTGAAAGATGGACATTTTTTAGTCTAAAAATACCAAAAGAGTATTAAATATATTTCTATATATGAGGAGCATAAGATAACAGTAACTACTCTTTCACTGCATTTATTATTTAATCAGTCTAAGTAGTGATCTGTAATACCTCCACGGTCTCTTATATTTAGAACACGACTGGTAAGACAGCCTGTAGCATGTCAATCAATCAGGAGAACATTTGAACAACTTCCCATTAAAAATTCTAATGAAATATATCCTGTCACAGCAGCTTTTAACAGCTTAGAATATTTACAGTAATTACTTGACATGCTTCACTGAATTAGGAAGAAGGTACGATTCAAAATCTGTACTATTATTATTCACTTATTACAGTTCACCACCTAGAGAGAAAAACATTGTCCACACAGAATACCACACTGCAGTCAGGAGTACAAAAAGTTAATTTCACTTTCACATTGATTTCTTCAAAACCCACCAAGTAATATTCTTCCACAAAAAATATTTATGACAACCTTACAAGAGTGACTGTTATTAATATATGAATGTTTTTCCCATAGCTAAATATTAACACGACATGTTAAACGCATGAAGCCAACAGGCCATACATATTGGTTAACAGTGAACATGGATGTATATTGAGGTATGTCTAAGAGATAAACTAAGCAACATGACTATCCACTGAATTTTTGTCTAACGAAATTTCTTCTTAATTAAATTTTGCACTGATATGCAAGAAAAAACATTATGAGTGAAGTCAAGCACTCACATAAAAAAAGCTGGTAATTCAACCTCCACCAGCTTCTGAGTTTGTTTCTGCTTAAAAGTGAAATTGCATTACCTGTGAAAAGCTGAGAATAAGCTGCTTGGACTCAACAACACTGGCCCTTGAGGCAGCACAGTTCCTCGTTCATTGACCCAGTGCAAGTATCCTCTGGTCATGTCTGCCATTCCAATAGCACGTGCTGAGCAATACAAAAATTTATATCCATTTCTGTGAAGGGAAATAAAAGAAGAAATTACTGTAAAAATAAAGAAGGTATTTTGACATTAATAATTTTGTGGTTTATTTTTGCATGAATCAAATTATGACTGTTAAAACAGACTTATGTTTAACCTAGACTTATTTAAAAGGAATAAAAACATTTATGCCAGAAACTTGGATAAGTAAAATCAGTCTAGCTCCACTGCAGTTAGTGATTTATACCTAAAGAGGGTTCATTTATCTCTGGTCTTCTCATGACTTATGACTTCTTATGGTTTTCTATCCATAGTTTCTAAGGAACCATACTCCTTAGAATTAATTGAAATGGTATCTGCTAAGAGGAGAGCACTTGGCATAAAGCAGACAGTGGTGTATTAGTCTTCGCTGTATTAACAGTGTTGTAGCCCTGCCTCTTGGGCCTCTGAAAAAAAGGACTAGTCTATGTGCAGCAGTAATATATTTCTTCAAGTTGGAGCAAATTTGAACTTCAAAACACAGTATGAGAAGTAATCTTTGACTTGACATTGAAATAAACATTACAGAGAGGTCACAGGTTACCGTTAGTTCTGTTCATGATAAAGTCCAATGATGTTAGTTCAACTTAACAGCAATTTACTTTGCAAGTCCTATAAAGAAATTATTGTTCATAAAATAAAGAACTACTGTATTCAGTGCATACATGATCATTAAATCTAACTATTGAACACTTATATGGTGTTCAGCTGTAGTATCTAGCCACTACATAATTAACTCGGGTAATTAGAAAAACAACATGACTCAAATCTATTTTTTTCCCCTATCTTTATGAACAACAAAGCCCTAACAATTGACAGTGCTGGCAGGCACAGAAATAACAATGCAATTTAAAAAAAAATTAATTAACATTTTCACCAAAAGTAATACAGAGGTTATACACAGAACTAAATACTTCTCAGCATGTGAATTATCAGGCTGTCCTGTCTTTTCTGTGACCACATATGCCTATAAAGAATAAAAGCACAGACAAGTGTCTCTGGCATAATTTAGATTGCATCATCCATAATTTATAATTTATCATAGTGTAAAACAAAAAGCAATAAACAAACTCTAGCGTAACCCTAGTACACAGAACAAATCAGATTAACTAAGAGGACAGTTGTGATGTGTACCAGAGGCTCTTCAAACATTTTATTGTAACAGCTGAAATTAATGTAATAAAAGATGACCAATTTTCTTTTCTGTATAAAGCAGAAATACCAACCTGAACAAACAGCTATCAGTAATCCTCCTTCTAAAAGTTAAAATCAGGTACTTCATCTGATCCCATTGTGACACCAATTAATTTTTCTCCTCATTTCCTTTTTTCCTCTCAGTTGCTAATCACAAAAGTCACCACAGTCTGTCTTTGATCTGCCGATGTACACAGTGGCTTGACTATGTTGCAAAATGTATTCAGGGAAACCACAGTACACCTGTACTTTTGCACTAGCCTTGCTCATCTAGAACTACTCCCACACACCGCACATGTGAGTTGGTACAGCCTGACTGGTTTTCTCCTGTTCATATTCATCAGAGGAAATATCACCTTTTTTTTTTTTTTTTTTTTTTTTTTTTTTAATATCTTGTTCTAGAACATACCAGGATATTCTCCCTGTTAATGACATTAACTGACCTAAAGCACAGCTGATCTACTGTTGCCCAGTATTTCTTCAACAACTAATGGAAAAAATAGTTTTTTCAAAACATCATTAGATCTCAGGTATACTGTGCTATTTTTTGAAAATGCCCATCTTTCTCCATGGATTACACAGAGCATACAAGCCACAAGTAAACATGATGAATCCAGGTCCTTCCACCCACAGTGGCACAGAAGTTATTTATTACTGTGGACCAACAGCCACCAGTGCAGGTCAACTACTGAGCTATAACATAGCAGCTCACACTGGTGTTGCCAGGTAAAAGCCTGCTCCTCAGGCTCTTCACAAGTCTTACTGACTTTCAGTGCCTTTAAATTACACTTGAAGCAATGTTTACTTACCACCAACTCTCAAAACTAACCAATGTCCCAAAAATATTTTAAGACTGATCCTTCTTAATTTCACAATTTACCAATGGAATAACAACAAATATTTATATAGAGATAATAAAATATATAATCATCAGTAGTAAAGATCATCATCAACGTCTTTGAATCTCATCATTATTTACACAACAAATAAAACAATATCATTAGCAGTGAGTATCCAAAATGGGTCCATTTCTACTCAAGATAAGACTGTGCTGTGCTTTAGAGGTGAGATTTATCTTGCTTGACTAGCCTAATGTTTAGACAGCTCAAGTCTAAACTGCCCACTAAACTCCCTTTCTACTCACTGGAAAGAGGGAACTCCCCCAAATGGATTCATCCCATGTGTCTTAGATTCCATCCCTAAGTGACTCCAGGCAAGTCAAGTTTGCAGGAATCTACAGTGACCACCCTTGGCTAAATAGTCCTTAGGTATTTCACAATCTCCGAGGGAAGGGAAGGTGTATTATCATCTTATGAATAAATGCTGCTGCAACTACCAGTTTGCAGTAGAGTTCCACTGGCTGCAACTACACAACTCATTCAAATTACTGAAGTTTTTGAACTAACTGGAGATATCTGTTTGGGATGGTTGGAAAAGTAGACACTACTTACTGATAGAGTGCCTTCACTTTTGTTACCACAAGGCAGGTTTTTGCTCTGGATATCATAGAGCAGATGCTTACACTGTGTAAGCATCACTGAAGTGACAAGATATCAATGAAATTGTCACCCTTATAGGTTAAGAGAAGCCTAGAAAAATTTTAGATTTTTATGTGTAAATGAATAAACACAAGCCACAGATGCATGAACAGATTTACTGAATACTCACTGGCTCACTTTATGGTACAACTTTGCAATCCCTTGGTGTGTCCAGTCTTTGCCAAGAGTCGGCAAAATATGACCTAAAGTATCTGACCTGAATAAGGAAAAAACAATATAATTGAACTGGAAAAAAACAAATCACAATACTCATAAGAACAGTTGAGGCTAATACAAACCCCACTAACTTATTTGGCTAATGGGAAAGGAAAATAAAGTTTTCTGTAAGGTACTGATTGTGATCAGAAGAGGATGATTTTATTCCCCCTTCTTTTGAAATAAAAAAACAACCTACCCATCCTTGGCCACGTTGTTTTAATTACTCTTGTGCCCTAGGACTTTTCTTCATGGATAAGGTCATGACCCATAAGGTAACATGGAAGTTACAGCATATAGGCTATGAATCAGACCTGTGTAGCAGGCCAGCCAGTACTAAGCATACTTTTGAGGTTTACATTAAATGTTTCCTAAATAAACTAAATCTACCCATAAGGGAAGTTTATGGAAAATTGCAAACACGAGATAAGTCACATTCTAGCTTACTTCAAACTAACTTCTCCACCCAAAGCTGGCAGTTGGTCACATATAAAGTATTGTGAAATAGTTATACTGTTTTCAACGTACTTCCCGCTTTACATGAGAGAGAATTATTTATACTATAGTAACATTTAGAAATCGCAACAAATAAGCACCTCACTTAACTAAGCACTGTACAGATACACAGCAAGAAATCCACACCCTGAATATCTTGCACCTTAGAGAGGAAAGCACTGAGCAATGGCTTAGGATGGACTTGCAATAGTATTGTAGGGTAAACTGATTCAGTAACTCTCTGGTCAGCTCAAAAGGAGAGAGAAGAATAGTTTCCATTCACTTTACTGAATCTTAAGAAAACAAAAGTGGTGGGGGAGATATTCATTGATGTTGGCAAAAAAAAGTTTGCCCTACAATGGATAAATCGCAATGAAAAAGAGTTTCAGTTTAAATCAGGTATTTCAATTCACCCCAGATCGCTCTTGGAAATTGTTTTCCCTTGTTCTTTTTTTCTAATTAAATAGAGCAAAATTTGATTTAAAAAAAAAAAAAAACAAAAACAAAATCTAAGCATTTCATTTTAAAAGGTCAAAAGACAATGCTTATATTTTTATTAAGTGTTTCTCTGTTCCACTCACAATTGTTTCCCCCAATGTTAAATAAATAGCTAACTAAAAATCAGCAAGTGAATGAATCTTTTTGATCACTCCAAAATTGTGGTGTTTACCCAAAGTAGTAATGTGAAACATTCCATCACATTCTAATTCTGACATTGATTTTGGCGTCTGGTCTTCTAAGTAATAATGCCTCTCACTGCAATGCCCCAGTAACGCTTTTTAAAACAGAATTCACATGTTTCTTCTTTTTGATGTACCCAGTATACTTCATAAGTGTGATGCAGAAAAAAAGTTATGATTTTGCAGAAGGTCCTCCAATACTACTGTAAATATTATCATGAAACACCAACAGATGACAAATAATGGGCACATATGTCATGTGTCTTTATTAAATTAACAATTCAGCTAATGATTCTTGCATTGTTTGAAAGCCAAATGAACCCCACTCCACCCCCTCCAAACACTAGAATATGATGATTCTGTGACTCAAAATTCCCTATCACTTTTTCCTTTAGTCCAAAGGACTTGTCCTTGCAGATAAAGCCTCTCCCTGTGCATGAACTCACCGTGTGATTGTTCCATCAATGTCAGAAATAATAACTTTATCATCCCAATTCCACAGGTAAATGGTGCCTTCACAGCGGCAAGTGCCTTGATACTGTGTTGTAACACTAAAGGTCACATCATTGGGGCCATTCTTGAGCTTTAAGCTTTTCTGCAAAACATTATCAGCAAGATAACCAGCAAACTGAGCATGTGAAGCTAACACAGTGCAAACACAAAGCCACACATGATCATTGCCTTGGTCACACTGAATCTTATTGCTCTCAGCAGAGCTATTGTCTAAATAATGATAGCAGAGGTTTACCCTGTGTGGTGTACATTGGGCATTGATTTATAGAGCGGGACAAAACAAGTAAATAAAAAGAAAAAAAAAAATCTCTTTCACAGTCAGAGATATTATGAAAAAAGAAAGAAAAAATAACCCCCCGAAGTTCACATAAACTAACGAATTATGGAATAGGGACTATCTATGGGGGTTTTCCATTCTGAGAAACAGATACATATGCAGAGAGAAATGTAGGTAACAATGAGTTCCATGAATTAAAATTAAGAGCATTTATATGGGGATTTGTGTTCAATGGTATTACATCTCTTTCCTATAATAACCCACCTCTCATACTATATCATCTATTACACTTCAGTCTCCACCAAATTTCCTTAACTCTCTCACTTCCCTGCCCTTCCCTTCCACTGCCTCCTGTGTCACTTAACGACCCAGTGGGCAAGAGACTACTGATTAGATTCTATTTGTGGTCTCAACCATTCATTTTCACAAAACCTGCAGGAGTTTAAGTGTCTCTTCTTCTTAGTTATATTTCACTGCAATTGTTCAGTGAGATAGGGTGAAAATAAGGTGAGAATGAAGAACCACTGATGGGTAACTGATGAGTCTTACCCACTGTTTCATCAAGAACCCATCTAAAAGTAGTTTTAACTTCAGCTAATTTCTGCAAGGTTTCTGTATCTGATAAGTATCAATATATTTCTGTAACCCTTGCTCTCTCTTTGCTATTGAAAATTACCAACACATCCTATCTGTCCCTTGGGAAAAATTCTACATTTCTTACAAACTATTCAGGCAGTGAGTGATGGCCTGTTTAATGCTGTACGCCTTGTGTGGGTTTCCTTCAGAAAATTAATTTGCTGTAGATAAGACGACAAAAAGTATTTCTCTAAAGTAGCCCATTTTTCCGGATGCAATTGGAATGTGCAGAACACAAAACTGTAACAGCTTTGTCACCATTAGTCAAAACGCCTCTGTCACAGAGGAAGAGAATTGGCTCCAAATAAATTAATAGCCTGGCCTCACAGTAAATTCACAAGCAGCTCTTTCAGAAGGTACTAACAGTATTTCTGTAAAATGTGACTGTCTGACTATGAATGAGGGGAAAGGAGAGAAGGAAAAAAGAAAAAAGAAAAGAGAAAAGAGGCCTGTGGGTTAATATACACATACACAATACAAAAAGGATGTGGTTCCAGTATGCTTATTCAGGTGACAAATACATACGCTGCAATTTAATTTTGATATTTTTCTAAATGGGATCCCATTTCTCCCAATATCTGAACCTCAGCACTTCCTGTAAGGTACAACATTCAAGCTTAATACTGAAGAGAGAAGGGAAAGTTGGGGGGTTTTGAAAAATATAACAAGAGAAAGAATTAAATGCAAGACATAAGAGCTAATTAAGCTTTGCAAGCCTGAATAACAGTATTGCTCATGTTGTATTAGAAATGACATTTCAGAACAAAGATGTAAAATTAACTCACAAGCTGGTCAGAAGTGAGTCGAAGTGTTTTTTTGTAACTGATTCCAGACAATAATGAGAGATGACTTGAGTTGGTTTGTAATGCCCCAAGGTTTTGTTTGGCAACTCTAGGGTCTTCATCACTTGAAGAAGATTCATCTTTTATTCTGGTACATTGCACACAGAGAAAATGATGCTATCATGTCAGTAAATGCATCTTAGTATCCATTAAAAATGCATTAACAGTGAGTCACCAAATAAGTCATTGATTCTCTGCTCCCAAGCACTGTCTCACAGGTCATTCACATCATGGCTTTAAATATATCAATGAAGTGCCAAATTTTCATTCACATATATTGCCCATTACTCATACTTGGATCATTCTAGCCATTCACTTGTCTATTAGCTAGTTTTCATTACATAAATTTAACAGATGCAAATTAATGTGCTGTATTGACTCAACAATCTCATAGTGGTAAAAAAATAATACCCATTACATACTGTAACAACAAAAGTTCCTCAGTTCTTAGAAGAAGAGGCATTTGTTATGCTGGCTTTCTCTTCCCCACCTTCTCTCCTTCCCCAAAGAATTTAGCAATTACTAAGAAAAATCCAGGTGATTAACATTTTATTATAGAAAGTAACTCGTTCTCTTTCAAGGAGCAAGTTTAGATAAGGGGATTATTCTTTTCCAGGATTTGCAGGATTACCCAATTCAGGATATGATGATGAAAAGTCACAAAACCTGACCTCCTTTACACAATTCTGTTTAAATACACATCAGCGTGAAGAGAAGTTGCTACAAGTATACTGTTGAGTGAACTTCTTTGTTTCAAGTGTAATTCTTTTTTTTTTTTTTTCCTGCTACAACCATCTTTTTCAGAGATTTGTTAAGGATAGTTTTCTTCAGAGAGAAAGTTTTCCTGCAGTAAACAAATCCATCACCTTAGATTGAAGGTAAAATATCCTTTCAGATCCTACAAATCTCATCCTTAAAACAATCAGCATTTGGCCTCTAAAGTCAATCACACCTGGATGTTGTTTGATGTTAGGAAGTCTTGACCCAATATCAAGGTACTGCATGTCATGACTAGCAACACTTAAAAGCCTGCCTTATCCTTTGTAACATCAGATCTCAAAAGCTTACTCTACATCTCACTTGTCGCATTTTGGTTGCAAGCAAAAAATTCTTAATGACAGATTCCTAACGTCAGTTAAAATTTAAACAAAGAATACCTATTACAGAATCTAGTCTGCTTGAAACCTTAATCTCACTTTAAAGCTTAACTTTAAACTATGTCAGAAAAACACCTAAATGTCATCCTTAAGAGGAAAATCAGCCTTTCTGATCTATTCTGTTGCTCTCACAACCTCACAGGCAACTGAGATAACAGCTAGTCTCCTACAGAACAAGGAATCCTCCTTCCAGCATATTCACCTGGACTGCAACTGTTGACCTCCAGAAAGAATGGCAGCTAATGCTTTTTTGGTGTCCTTGAATTTAACTGAATGAGCATAAAGCATATTTGCATCCGGCCCTTTTCAGCTCTAAGTGCAGAGAGCACAGAGATGGGCCGTCTTTACAGTAAGATCTGTATGTACAGGAAAGGGGCGAGGTAGGAAAAGCTGTCCCTGGCCAACTCATCCCTCCAAAGCCTCCAGAGCAAGTTTAAGTTCATTTTATGGAACCCTCCTTAAAGGAGAGATTCTTGCCATACAGTATGATTAGTCTGAAGCACAAGAAGGAAGAGACTTCTGCAGTTCTTGAAAGAAATAATAGAAAAACATGACTACTGCCTGTGAAAAAAACTCCAGAAAATCTTAGGCCCCTGAACTTCCTCAACTATGCAGGAAGAAGTTAAGTTGTCAGGTCATAATTATATCAGAAATTTTAGCAAGTGGGATCTGACAACAGCATGGGGTCATCTATGATGTTCCCTTGAAAACTCTATAGAGATACAAACAGCTGTGGAGAACTGCTCCCCAATTGTTTGTTTTCGAGGGGCTAGAATCTGTGTCACAGAGCTGCCAGCCAAACCACAGAAACACCAGAGTGCACTCACAAGGTCTGCAATGCTGCCGTGGGTAAGACCTTCCTAACTGCACTTATCTGGTGCAATGAATAACAAATTAAACATATTTCTCTTCAGTATTTCTTTGTTCAAATATGAGAGGTAGCCTGCTTTCATTTTTAAATGGTAACTCCTGGTCATTTCAGGTACAGGTAATGTTGGGAGTACCTGTTTGCCATGCTCATCTGTGAAGAGTCTTCTCCTGGAAGTCCACTCCCACTCATACCTTGCTCTGGCTTTGTTTCCTGTAAAAATACAAGGTACAGGAAGCTGTGCATCTCCTCTTAGGTATAGAGCAAATGTTTTTAGAAAAAATATTTGAAAACCAAATTCTGTCTTGTACAGACTCAGTAAAATTCAACAGCATGTTTGTTTCCTTTGCTTGTAGTCAAAGTAAAACTTCATGGCTTTCTTAAAGAATAAAAGCTGCATGAAGAACTAAAAATTGCAAATATAAAACTTGTAAGAAGAATTAAGATTAATTTTTTGCATGGCAGAAGTACAGAAATGTCAGATTTCACATCTAGTACTGTTGAAGTTCTGGGATCAATCCCATAACTTCAACTTCCCCTCAGTTCATTCACCTCAAATAGCTAGATTTCACCTGAAAAAGCAAAGTATGGCTCTGAAGAAGAAAAAAATTACCTTTTATAGAATCATTAAAATCTTTAATTCAATAAAACTTTCCAAACTGCTTTTACCTTACATAGATGCTAAGCTCTATCAATTTCATTCCACAAGATTTTTAAATAGCAAATGGCTGCGACACACAAACAACAGTAACTCTTTCTATGTACAGCTGTCACAGCCCAAGAGATAACCAAATACTTCCAGAGAGAAATTCTAAAAACTTCAAACTGTACAAACTAAAATCTCATCCTCTGAAGTCCATACCCACAGATCAGTACAATGGTTATTTCATGCAAGGCTAAAAAATGTTCATCGACTGAGGCACAACCATAAAAATGTATTGCAAGTAATTTTCTCCCCTCCAGTACTAATGCTTCAGTAGTATAAATTAATATGAAGAGTTTTTATTAGTCAACTTTAAAGATTAAATGTGTCTAGACAGGAGATCAATATTTCATATAAAGCATTGCTTTTTTCACTGTTCTTTAATGTTCATCCATGGCTTTAAGACTGTTAGCACAAACTTTTAATGCTTGGAGAAAAAATTCAAAAAGACTTTAAAACTAATATATAGTCAATTTTTCATCTTAGGTTTTGCTGAATTTTACAGCTCACACTACTCAAATATGTCTGTTCTTCAATTATCAAAAGAAAGCTGCAGAAAGGTCGGTAATCTGCATGAAAACATTAAATTAGTGGCACAGCTCTTCGATTCTATTTATTTAATCCACTAGATAATACCGCCTCAGGATTGTGTAATGAAAAAAAATGCAGAACCAAAACACTGCAGGCAAATGCTTCAGGTAAGGATCTGATCCAAAGCTTTCTGAAGTCAAAAGTCAGACTTTAGACCACATGAACATCTTTGAATGTGTATATCCTTGGTCAAATTGAATACGAGTTATTGTTAGAAGTGAAGTTCTGAGGGATGAATATGGAGTTATCCAGTCTTCCCACTGCAACCAGAAGGAAACTTTGCTTGCTTTTTAAAACTTACCTCTTTAATAGTGCTGTTCCTCCCTCGCCATGAAAACCACCACCTTCCACCTTTTTTGGGCATCTTGTCCCTCATTATAGATTCCACAGTGGCCTGTGATAAATGGATGGTAACATAAAAAAAAACCAAACCAAAGGACAACCTGATATATGTAAATGAAAGAAAGTACCAAACACACAATTTTAACTGATAATAAATACAATAAAAGTAAACATACTGTCTGTGGACCATAAATTCTACTAAAGCAAAATCTAATGGTATCCAGAGCTGCTCTGAAGTAACTTAAGCATGAATACTTATGGTATTTTTAAAAGGAAAATGAAAAAGAGATAAAATCAAAGAAGAAAAAAAAGCATAAATAGATATTAGTATAATGTCTAGAATGGAGAACCTACTGTTTAGAAGTTGAAGTTACTTAGTGCAAATTATATTTAAAAAAAAAAAAGAAATCACTTTCTGAAGGAGCTCTCATGCAAAACAGTAAAAAAAACCCACATGCAAGACTGTTATTCTCATTCAAAAATTACTACAAAGTTCATATTTAATCACCAGTTTGGAAAAAAGCAAATACATTACTAGCTTTTATGAGTTTAGTCTGAGGCTATGAACTTGACTGACAATATAATAACTGATTTTTTAAACCCTGGCTATTTTTCATTGGTTATATACAATAGACCTCAGTAAAGAAAAGTTTCTTTCACTACCGATAATGACTGCAGCCTTATGCGTTATAACAAGGAGAGCTGAATTCTTTCACTCAGAGAGCAAGCAAAAGGCAAAAGGAAAAATATTACAGTAAAGGTGGCCACAGTGTTTGGTATGCCCTAGAATAGCTTAGCCACTGACTGCCTGAGATGATAGCATCCACTGTAAGAAAAGTCACCAAAATAAAACCGTGTCATTGATTTAAAGAGAAGTAATAAATGATTCCAAGAATTCTTAGCAGTTAAGAAAAAGGGTTGAGTTCAGCTAGTGTATGGGACAATGCATCCCTTTTCTCAGATTTTCATAGGTTCTCTTCACTATCTAAAGCATATGAGAAAAGAAAAAAATGACAGAGGAATACAGTTGAGCAAATAAACTGAGAACTTTTTACACAAAAGTAAGGAAAACAAGAAACAGATGGAGCTACTGAGAACAGAATGCCACTGTTGAGAACAACGGCTACAATTTAAGGAGGTTCTCAAACACAGGAACAACTTCTAGCAGATATTCTATTGACTTTTAATGAGATAATTCACATGCTTACAATTAGAGATGTGTTTAAATGTATTTTGTGGAACACAAGTGATTTTTTTGCAAACCTCATTTTCCATCACTTCATAAAGCCTGTTTTAATTAAGTATCTTAGTATTTCAATTTCCTAGTTCCATTATTACTGCAAATCAAAACTCTAATTAACAAGTCATTAAGAAAACTAGAAGGATGACTGGTAGTATAAATGAGTAATTCTAGTTTCAGAGGTACAGTTCAGCCAAGTAAACCTTCCCAATCACACAGACTGTTTAACCTGGCTTCTCCACTAAACTAAAATTGCACTGTCTAGAAAGTTATCAGCATTCAGAATGTAATTTAACCATTAAAAAAAAATGAACACACTGAATTTTACACTCCTAGAAGACTTTTCTTAACTGATAACCTATAAGAATAATGACATAAGCATAATGCTGTTGAAAGAATTGCCGTTTCCCTTAACGGCAAAAATACTTCATACCAATTCTTTCAACTTTCCCATCCTAGGCAAAACCCAAAACGTCCATCTCAAGCACCAAAGTGCTTAATTAAAAATGCAGTTACCTTGCATTTATCACCAATGAAGACCCAACAGACACCTATCAAGGTCTGAATCACGCTGTGGAATTGCCCAACAGAGTAGGATAACTATACACCTTCCATAGGCATTTGAGTTAAATGGAACGAATCCCACCTCTGGTGATTACTAGAATATTTGCAGTAAACTGCAAAACATCTGGCTCTGCGACATCCTTGAAATTCAAGGGAGGGTTACCAGATGTTTGATACTTTTAGGATCAATTTTCTTTATATTGGGATGCTACAGTGCAGCCACACATGATTGCATACAAATCTAATGTGGCATTAAGAAAGAACCCAGTGGCAAAGAGTATTCTGGGCTTTCAAGGAATTTTTATTCCACGTTCATGGCAATAGAAATACCATCTGAATTCACGTAATTAAACCCAAAGACATGTGAAGTGCTGCATATGGCAGAAGGAATGTTTAGGTTCCAAAATATATTAAATCCATGGCTAACCAGGACACAAAATAATGCCAATGGTGACTACTTCTTTATATACATTTACAGTAGTGTGTATTTCTGTCCTGAGCATCTATGTGCAACCAGGTCACATGGAATTGGACTAAGTTCATCAACACATTTAACACAAGCCATCATATACAGATGTCATATAGTCATAGCTATCTGCCACTACCTACCCAGGTTGGTTATGAGCAACCAACCAAAAAATAGAAAACTAGCAAGCTACACGCCTTCCTTGTCTAGCAGTTAAAGCTTATTCACTGAAGTTAGAAGTCCTGGCGTCTATTTTTATTTAATAATACATGCTGCACACAGATAAAATGGAAAGCAGTCACCATGTATTCAGCTACAGAAAATATTAATATAATTTATGTTTACAATCCATTTAATGAAGGAAAACAGCAAGTTTTCCTCCTTTAAAGTATTTGTAAAGATCTTAGCCTAACAAATAAACACTATTCACAGACCAAATTTAGTCCTGCTTATTTAACCCTTAGCATAAGCTAAATGAATGGTTATGTGTGAATATATTATTGATGGGCAGATTCTCTTGTACAACAATCCTCTTCCCTGCCTTAAATAGTAGAATGTCACAACTCCTCCTCTGACCAACCTTCCTCTTAAATCTCACCTTTGGCAGAGGTTTCTGAAATGCCTGCATTGCCAACAGAAGAGGACCAGCTGTTGTCCAGTTGTAGTACCTAGGCATGCAAGAGAGACAATTACTGCATTTTGTAATCCCAAATTGTAGTTCATAATCTACTTAGTATTTATCATCTGGTAGGTTAAAACCATCAAGCCTCTTCAGCACAGGTCACACTCCAGCCTGCACCAGTAATAGCAGACCCACCTTATTCCACAGTATGTTCACAGGTATTTATCACATGTACTTTTCAAGAAATGCAAGAGAAGTAGAATCAGTATTTGTCATACATTCCTCATGTTCATACTATACCTCATTAGCACAGCACAAGCTACATTTTTTACAAGTTGTTTTCACTGCTTTTCCAACAAGGAACTACATAAAAGTTAGGGGCCATAGTCTGTAGGATGTCATGCTTTGGATATTATGTGCTGAACATGGGTCAACTCTTGTTACAGACAGTAGGACAAATACAGTATTATCATCCATCTGCCTAGGGAAGCTGAAGCTCACATAACATCCAGAGAGTATAACAGTAAGATCCTCACTAAGTACTCCTCTCCCCAACTTATCAGTAGGCAGGTAAACATTACTATCAAATTTAGAGAACTATGGCAGGGAAGCAATAAATGACTCACCTCAGACCACAAAGAGGGTCAAGTATGAGGCTGTAACATACACGATACAAACTATCACATAAGGGTTCACCAGGCATGTCAGGTTTGTATGAACAATGTCTATGACTAAGAGTAGCCTAACCTCTTAAGTGCAGCACAATTCCATGATCTCCCCTCTACTCTTTTAACATCATATGCCAGGTCCAAGGAGCTCTCAATTTAAAATATCCTCCAAAAATCTGCATCTGTCATAGACCATAGTGCTGCACTGCTGCCAGCAATATAAACATACAAAATAATGTCTTAACCTTGCAGAAATAGAAGTCTCATATTCTGTGGGTGAAGTTCGACAAGTCTTGAAAAGCAATGCCTCCATAGAGGCCTATTAGCAAAATATTCAGTATATACAGACAAAATGCTGGGTAGAGTGCTTGCAAGCAGACTGCCATATCCCTATAAATATTAATTATTCAAACTGGCTCAGGGCAAGCATTAGCAAGTTCACATGCTATTTTATTTTTAATCTGCAAACACTATTAGCATTTAATACTAGCTTCTTGAAATTCAAATTGTGTCAGTTAGCTGTTCAGGTTATCTGAAACCGCTCTTTACTTTCAATTTAAAGGAGGAAAGGCAACTAGAAGAGCCTGAATTCACTAGAGAGTTGACACTTTCTGGATGAATCTAAGCTATGAACATCCAAAACCTATTTTTCAGCTACAGTTAAACTGATCTAACGCACTGAAGTGCTACAGAAGTGTTTTTGTTACAACAGTGAAATATTTTTTTCCTGAAATATACTTACTTATTTCCAATCTTAACCACAAGGTTAGGGTCATCAATGATAGCAGGATTGTCCACAAACTGCTGATATGTTACTGCATGTTCTAAGAATTCTTCTGTGCAGGGAAAAAAAACACATATGTAAAGCATGAATTTACAGATGCCTGAGATGGGCCAACCTAAACCTCTTAGCATCTCTCAGACACATAGTTTTCACATTCAGGGTCAGCCCTTCATTACGAGGATGCTGAAATTAGCAGCAATACGGAAGCAAAATGTTCAGAGACTCTCAATCTCAGAAGATGCTGAAGGTTTCTTTCTTAGATGCTGGGTGTCTTTCCCGTTCAAAACACAAGCTAAGGGGTGGAACCGTGAGGGAGGAAAATCAGGCTTCTAAGCAAGGCAAGAAAGTACTTTGTCATGCCTTTCACTGATCCTCTGTCCAAGTTAGTAGCAGGAACTGATGGGCTCAACATATATATAAACCCACAGCCAGAAAATTAATGATCAATTGTAAAGACTACATCAAAGTGAAAATGTCTACAAATACCCCTTCCACTAGATGTGACTCATTTCACAAAATCTATGTAATTTACAAATGATTCAGATAACAATACAACTCCAATGAGTAACAGTATATTTGAAATGTTTTAATAACTAGCTTTTGAACAGCAATCAGTATAGCATCAGGGTCATGATTTTATGATACCGTATTACTGGAAAGTGCAAGTCACAACACATTTATCCTCACATTATGCAGTTGGAAGTTCAAGGCACAGAGAAGTGTAAATGATTTATCTAAAAATCACACAAGAAATTGGAGGCAGAGAAGGAACTTAGGTCAAAGTTTCCAACTTCTCCTAGTTTCCTCATTTACAAACCACCTTTTTCATTCCTGACACCGACAGCTGTGAATTTCCTAGATATACTCTGTACCAAGTGGTAAAAGTACCATTAACACTACTGTGATACAAAACACAGTACTATCAGGTAATAAAAATACCAATAAAATACTTACAAAAAATTGTAACATATAATGGATTATTAAAATGTGTTAAAATTAATAAATCCTATGTAAGTCTATTATTTTAAGTATGAAAAATTCTAGGAAATTTATCATTATAGGGACAGTATTTATCTTCTCAACACATTCTAGAGGACAGCCACAGGAGGGCACTGCTTCCTCTGTCTAGGATACTAAAATCTGGCTGACAGCACATACATATAATTCAGAAAGTATGCTGTACCTTTGGTTATTTCTTTGTTGTCAGTAAGGCCTCCACAGAGAGAAATGGCAATCGAGGGCAAATCTCGAATTCCATCCGAGGTGTTTTCAACTCCACTGTCAACACCAGAGCTCCCAACAGACTGTGGAGACTGGCTGGCAGACCGTGTCTCTGTCTCGTTCAAGTTCTTGCTTTGGACATTATCCCCACTGGAAAAGTAAAATCAGGAATTCAGTCTTCATGTATTCATTCCCAAATTCGCTCCCTTCAACAATCACCATTTACATTTGACACACACTCAGGAAAAAAGGAAGAAAAAAAAATTTTGCTTGTTTTTGTCATAAAATTTAAACAAAGTAGCATAGGCCTCATGCACCTTCAAATATTAGATTGCTTCTACTTACTTGCCTAAACTATGCATGTATAATTATAGCTTCACTTATTTACAAGAGATAGGAAAAATAAGACAATAAACTGCACAATCTTAGTAGACATAATAATGCTACTGTAAGCAGAGTTTATGGTAGTTAAAACTATTACTACACAGGAACAAGAATGAACATATTAGTTTATCATTTAATGTGTATTAATTCTATAAACTGATAGCTAAACCCAAAACAAAGGATGTGTGTGTTTGTGTATTTATGTCATGTATATATAATAAAATGCTCTACATATAAACTACTAGGATTAAAATGTTAAGAAACAAGAAATCATTATACCCACTTTAAAAATCTGTGTATAGATGAGATCATTATTACAAAGTGCGGGTTCATCCAACTCTGCTTGCTATTCCAGATTTGTATGAATGCACATAAGAAAGGAATTTTCAATCCAGCTTTTTTCTCCGTATTACTAATCTTTCTCAATTTTATTGAAATGCTAATATTACAACAGCTGAGTTTAAGCAAGCAAGAAAGAAAAACAAAATATGCAAACTACTTTAGCTGTTGCTCAATGACTTTAGTCAAATGACTAGAGTATGATGTAGAAAGAGGACTATAAATAAGAGGGTCTAATAAAGATGGGAACAAGTTGGAAATTTTATGTTCAGGGTGCAATATTTTCATAAATAAATCTGTCCTGCATCTTCAAAAAATTATTTTCTAATGTTCATATTTATAGGTGATCACCCACAGCAGAACAACATCAGAGCAGTAATTTTGTGCTAATACTGTTAACAATAAGAAATGTTCTTCACAGTAATAAGCAAGGACATAGTGATAAATATATTCCAGGTCCAATTGTTCTACCAGGGCATGTAAGACTCACAAACATCAGTGTACATTACATAACAACCCACCATCAATATATGATGCTTAACTGACCAAAATAGAAAATCAGTTTCAAGCACACTTCTCAGGCCCAAATGAAGAGCCTTCCAAAAGCTCTAATATTCCTCTCTAGGGTTTTTTTTTTTTTTCCTTCTGCCTTCACCTCTGCTTGGATTCTGAAAAAGAGGTCTTATCTGGTTGGCAATTAAGAGTTTGATCTGAACTGGAAGGTGGTAAGAGTTCTTGAAATAGTAAAAATATAAGCAAAGGATTTATACTTCTTGGGGAAATAAAGTGCAGCAACTTCTGGATCCATGTCAGTGAGGTCATCTAAATAGACACCATCAGCACCAAGATGCCGGCTTCGTTTGTCTGTAAGGGACGGCACAAATAAGCCTATTAATGATCATTTTCTGAGTAAGAAGCCAGAACTTTTATTACTGTCTAACTATTCACTTTAAGATTGAGAAACCAGACAAGTTATAACAGTTTGTGAACTGTATTTGTATAAAATGGTACTGTCAAAAATTTCAAAACAAGTTGCTCGTATACATTGCTCCGACTTTGAATACACAAAACGGGACAGCAGAGGACTGGTTTGGAGATATGCTGAAGCCTCCTATCCCAGACAAAACCACAGGGAATTAGAAGTCAGCAGTCACTGTACGAAAACAACAAAATGAAAACTTTCTGAGTATTTGCATAGGCCTATTATCACAGTAAGGCAATCAGAGCATTTAAACTCCAAGAACTAACCTTCAATGCCCCCTGGCAAAAGAGAAATAATAGACTATACTGTAGTCACTAATACAGTATAAATGGCTTGTTAGGGAGACAACTTGTTTAGCACATACAACTGCTGTGTTGTGCGTGCACATGCACCATTGAAGGGCACAAGACAACCCTCCTAGTTCTTTCACTAGTACCAACACACTGAGTCACTGTTGTCCTGTTGTTGCTGGTCTATTCAGACAAGGAACCACTGTAAGACCAAAACCTAATCTGGAATTTATTTTTAAACCCATGACTTCTCACTGTCTCAATTTCCAAACATCAGACATCAGAAAAGCCATCAGAAAAAAGTTATGTAAAGACTGACTAGTAAGCAGAGAAACACTGTCATTTTTGTCTTCAAAGACAGCAGAATGCATGGGAAAGTGGCTAAGAAACCTGTACATTTACTGATTAAAAAGCAGCTGCACAAACAAGGCTTATATAGGGCTTACATATAGAATAACAAGAGCTCTAAAATGTAACATTTGTAAGCAAATAAATTTGATGTGAAGATTGTAATACTTATTATAAAATACCACAGATATAGAGCCCGGAAGTTAAGAAGTAGAAAAGCAATTACATTTCACAAATTCAGGACAGGATGTGTACCAGACGGAACTGAAATTGCTCCTGTGAAACAAATGCACCTTATTTTATACCAAATTTGTTGTTTGTGCAAAAGACATTCTACAACTACAGCAGAGAGGTTCCACAACTACCAGCAACACATAACAACTCAGAGAGTAGCCAGAGCAGGTAAACCAGCAGATCTACAGTGTGTTTGTAGCAAAAAGTGAAATTTCTGAATCTGTCAAATATGGATGAATTTGGAGCAAGTTTTGCAGTCTTGCTCATAAACACAGAGCTGCCAAAAATCCCAGACCAGGGAGAATCTTTTATCTTACTATAATGGCTCCTGTACATGATGCACAGCTCAAAGTTTTGAAGGTTCTTTCCAAAGCTTATCTCTTCACCAGATCTGTAAATGCTTTCAGAGCACAGATTAATTTATGTGGCAATAAGGTGCTTTATCACCATGAAATTTAAAGACAAAATCATACATATAAAAAGAGCAGATTCAACAGCTTTACCTTTCTTTCTGGAAGGAGAATCTGTCTTGCCAGCTGTTTGGGCAGAGCAAGCTGCAGCTTGTTTTATTTCTTCATTGGTAAGCAATGGTGGTACAGCTGCTCCTGAAGATTCTATCTCTGGCTTATTTGTCTCAGCTGGTAATGGGTCACTTTCATCAGCAGTTGCTTCATCTGCTTGATGTTGAAGGGCAGGTAGAGGAGATGTAGTGTTCTCCTCTATAGAAGAACTCTGGATGACCCGAAAGTGAGTGCTTTCGGAAGGATTTACATCCACCATGCTGGGTTCCTTTGCTTTGAGCAGAGAACTGGCCTGTGAGGAAAAATAAACTGATTGCTATAAAGCAAAGTTCTTAAAAAATGCAACAGCCAGAGTTTAACCTGTTCTGTTTGCTCCAGCAAGACCAGATTCTCAAGGTAATCAACTACAGCACAAAGCTACTGCTAGCTGAGGAGGAGACTGCAGTGTACAAAAACCTCTCTGCTGTGCATTTGCTTGTGCAAAATTCATCTGTATCTTGGGGCCAAGAAAGATTTGTTCTGCAGTGTGTTCTTCATTTTCCACTCACCTGTCCGGGAGCAGATTACAGTTCCCACCTTGCCCTCCTCCCTTCCTGTGCAAATCCTAGCTTTTTTTCAGAAGGTAACCCTGACAAACATGGGAAGGGAGTGCAGACTGGAGTCCTTACACAATCAGGGTGCTCTCAGGGGCCAGGACAGGAGTACGCTGTCATACAGCTATACCTCTGATTTAGATTTTAAATCACTTTACAGAACAATTCCAGATCTCTGAGTGTGGGACAGGACGTCTTCTTACAGAGGGGAGCTGAACTCCTACAGCAGCAGCTGTATAGCTGCTATAACCTTCACATCATAGCAAAAACTCTTACATGAAGATCAACAGCATCTAAAGCTTAACTCCCAGTTCAGATATGGCCACATCAACTCTGAATAGCTTGCCTAGGAACACAGAGAGGGACTGCAGAGGGAAAAGCCTTCAAGAATAAGATTTGTAACACACACCAGGCTGGATGACTGGGATAAAAATGACCCTAAATTCTAGACTGGAGATGCCAATTTGAAACTCCTGCATGGATCTGTGCACTTAAATCAGTCTACTATGTACAGAAAACAGCTGTCAGTTTTCTTGTAATATACATGAGGAGGAGAATAATGCAGATGGGACAGTTCATCTTTGGCATATTAAAGAGGCCAGAGCTCTTCTGAAGGAATTAAGAATTCTGGATTCCCATACTTATTTTTGTCACTAGCTACCAAGAGTGAATTCAAGGTAAATTATAGTTTTGTCATTACAATTCTGGTGCTGCCACCAGAATGCAGAAGTCTTCTTTCTGAGGAGGATATCTGCTTCCCAAGCCTGCAAAGCAGGAATTTTATTTCTTCATACTGTTTCTGACCCCATCACCCCTATAGTCCTTTCTGCAGAGAAACCAGCCTTCAGCAGAAGGGGACAAACCCTGCACCATCACTGCCCCCATAGTTGCAGTACGCCACTGGAACCGGACCTTTATTTTTTACACCCTGAGGCAGGTGTAAGCCCTAAGTCTCCCCTTTCCTGTATGAATGCTCTGACTCCACAGCTATCACAAGAAGCTGGCCAGTATATGACTGACCTGCAGTGTATGCATCAGCACATAGCTATTGTGCAGCAAGGAGACATTGCTGCTGGCACACTGCAGATCCTGCCATCTAGCTGGGCCAAATGGCTTCAGGGAGGAGACAGGCACCAAGCCAGTCAGCTCAGCCAAGAGAACAGCATGTCTGGGCATGCAGAGATACAGAACTGCAGGTGTTTCTGGATGCTTATGTACTCAACCAACTGATTATAGTTTTTGTGAATCACACTGATAACACCAGGCACCTAATTTCCATCTAAGACCATTTATGAATTTCAGTGATTTATCAAAGGACATTGGGTTTGATTTTATGTTATTTAAGCTACTAACATTTGCAAGGTGTCAGGTACTTCATTTTCTACTGCTTATTCTTGTGTTGAGAACATCCATAGCACAAGGTACTTTCCTGTACCTCCTAAGGAGCAAGATGCAATTCACTTACATAAAACATTGCAATTTTATGTAAAACCAGGATATATTCCCTCTTCATCAGTCTGCAATAGAATAAGCGCTTGTGACCCATTAAAACACAACAGATGCTAGCAGGATTTAAACAAATCACATTCAATACCTTTGCAGCCTGGGGTAGCTCTCCCCATGCCCAGTGCATGTGGGGATTATTCTTCAGTCCACTTCTATCCATAGGTTTACTGACTAATTCTGAGTCACTCTGAGGAGTAGGAGGGCGTGAACCTGATGGGCTGAAGAGAAACAAACAAAAAATATTACAAAACCAGAAGTAACCACAATGCACTAAGCACTTTCTAAACTGATACCCACCAACCCAAAGCACTGAAGATCTAAATAATCATTAGCCAACTGAAAGTGTGAAAGCATGGAAAAAGTTTATAAACAATTCAGCATCCTCTTAGACCAGCATTCAGAGGTCTCATCCATTTTTTAGTAAGTGCTGTCACACAACCAAGATTTGAGAAGCTGAAAGAGATGGAACAAGAGCACTGGACCTGAACATTTCAGGAGGATTTTTGGTTTTCTGTGTGGTAAAAAGAAATGAGCGTGGTACAAGCAGCAGTAGATGAATAGATGTTAGTATTGTTATAATGTGAAGTGCAGAAATTACTCACTTGCATCAACAAGACATTTTATCCTACCTAAGTACTAAATTAGTCTAAGGAATCCATCTGAATACTTCTTTCCATGAACTTGTTCAGTTCTACCCTCAGATGCATGTTTATTAGGAAACCAGCAGGAGAGCTACACAAAGAATTTGAGTTCTTCCAATTAAAAAATATTTGTTTGTTTTGCTGACTACTTAAACTATTTAATAAGTAATTAGTAAATTATCAGTTTGTAGCATATTTTTAATGTGATTAAGTCAATGTGAAGTCAAGTCAGCCATTAATAAATAATGGGTCACTGATTTCAAGGACAAAAGGAAAAATTCTGATTATCTACTCTGCCTTTCTGCATAACACAAGTCATAGTATTTCACCCTTGAACCCACTGAACAAAGCCCATTATTTTTTGTCTGACCATAGCATGTCTTTGGTATACTCATACAATCCTAATTTAAAAACTACAAGCAACAAAAGAATCCACAACATTTCTAAATCAAAGGTCCAAACTGAGTTACTTTCACTCTCAAAACCAAAAAGTTTCCTACATTTAGTATAAATTCTTCTTGTTTGATTTGTTCTTTACCTTCTCTGGATAAACTGAATATCCAAACCAGTTTTGCTTTTGTAGAGCTAGCTGGTAGGGAATTCACTAGTCACAGGAAAATAATTACTTCTCACTAACACTAAGCAACATTCACAAATCTGTGAATTTCATATCTGAAAAAACAGCAACCTAGTTATCAGTTATCTATATCAGTCCTTGTTTTCATCTAAGTTGTAGTAAGATATACTCTGTGGACAAACGCTATGACTTTTTAGCTACGGATAAAGATGTCATCTAACTAAACTGTAAAATTTATAAGCAATACCACTGCAGAAGATCTTTTTTGGTCCTAAGAATTTCAAATTTTTATCAATCCTACCATTTGACAGATGAAGGAATCAATACCATGTGATTTTAAAAGTATTTTCAAGCTCTAACAATTCATGAAATGCCTAGTGGATTTTTCAGCAACTCCTACATCTCCCACTGACAAGTTTGTAGGATTTGCAGTATTTTCCATGCATCCCAGGGCCCACTGAAACCTTGCAAGTCAAGTGCACGTGCACTTTAGAAAAATCTCAGCAGGCAATAGTGCTTCTACTGCTGCTTTAAGCCCAAGACATCTAGATTTAAGGAAGTGTTGTCACTGCATGAGTTAATCTGTACACACATTGTAACCTTCAAAATACCTACTGTTTACTTAGAAAAATCTCCAGTCTGGGCTCTGGGGTATGTTCAGCCCGGGTTTACCTGGGAGAACACAGGCATTGCTTCAGTTTGGGCTAGAAACTCTGCATTTTGCAGTGAGAAGGTGGGGGGGAACCTTGCCTTTTCCATAACTTTCCCTGAAAATATAGTTCCCTTGTACACTTCAAATAAGTGAGGAAGAAGCCCAGGCTGCTACTCAGCACCAAGAACCATGATGTATATTCCCAGACATACACATGAAAGTGTCATAAATAGGGCACTTGCACATGTATATATGTTAAAACAGGCGGAGTTCTGCTCTGAAAGGCTCCTGCTGTGAAAGGCTGCCCGATGATCCATGCACAAGTCTGAGTTACTGGTTCAGGGTAGATATGGCTACAAGTATAACCATGGTAAGTTAGGAACAGGGTGAGCATCTAACCCCCAAAATATTGTCCACTCTCCCAAAACAAAGTACACAAAATACACACTAGCTACTGAACTTCCAACACAAGCACAATGGAGACAACTTAATTCTCATTCTATAAATACTACTTTTCTGTAAAATAAAAGGACTTAGTAGTAACAAAATGTTAGATCTTCAGAATTCTTCTCCATTGATTTCTCCTTGTAGGTTAGCATAAAAAAAAGCCAATACAACGTCAGGGTAGACTAGAATTTTCATTGCAATGTCATCTTAATTTAAAAAGCCCAAGACCTAATCAGATTGCAAACATGCATCCACAAGGCAAAAGGGGTAAATTATTTTATTTGTATGAAAGGCTATCAAAGCATTCTCATTCTTTATATCACCTGGAACACAACCTGGAATTTTCTATGTGACCCACAAACATTACTACAGGGTTGGTGGCTTCCTGATGAGAGCTGATTTTCCATTACAGAGAAATACCTTTACTTTTTTCTTCATATACCATACTGTTGTTGAGTACTGTTGTACTCAATAGCTATGCTCTCCAACTAATATCTCTCTGGAACAGCAACAATAATCTCTGTAGTTTATGGACACATATGGCAATTATGCCTACTACAGTCCTGTTTGTATACTTTTCGTTTCTATAGTTCTGCTTCCATATGTAATGCCAGATGTCATCTCCTTTACTTGCACTGGGACTATTGTGGCTGCTACTCACTTCACAGTATTGCCACCAAAGTAAAATGAAGACTAACAAAGCTCATAATCACATTCCTTTAAGGTTTATTTAGCTCAATTAGGTCAAACTAAATCCGGAATTAATGTTATGCTTGCACTGGACGTCAATAAGGCTGAATACTAAGACCATGTGGGATTTGTAACCCAGTGACAGTATCCTGCAAATGCATCCACGGACCAGATTCAAAATGGGTCCTTTACTCCTTACACCAGCAAGACCTTTGTTTTGGGCTGAACTATGCTTTGCAATTCTCCTGTCCATAAGTTAGGCACCCACCCAGCCCAGCTTAAATTCTCTTGCCTTACATAGATTGCTGAGATATTGCAGAACAAATTAGAGCCACCCATCCTGTCAGCACTGCACAAGAAGGAAGGGGAACTTCAGACATTTAGATCAGCATATCTGATTCACATCCCATAAATGCTGATTATTTGTGTCACAGTCCTACGTACTCCTTAACAGCTATGATTGTACTTAATGTAATCCAATGTCAAAGAACGTGGCCTGTAGTTGGCAGTTCTGCAATAGGAAACCGCCCTCACCTTTGCAGTGTTTCCCACTGAAAGCAGAGAGCCCTGAGAAAAAGTTCTGTCTTGACTGAGGCCACTAAAGCAGGAAAAGATAGTCAGAAGCAAAGAGACCTACTTCATGTACATGTCACAACAATATCCAAGAGCCTCTGAACCTCCTTTGAGGTGGCCATCAGAGTTTCTTATTTCACAGAGAAAAATGGTTGCAGACACAGAGAGGGCTTTACTCAGACAAGTTAGTACAGCACTTTAGCTGTGTATCTGGACTGCAGGACAGGTGAACCCAGAGCAAAGTCCATAGAGCCACCCAGAGCACACCACTGCTCCAACCCAAACTGTGTGCTTGCCCTTCCTTCCCATGAAAAACACTGAGGAGAACAGCCTTGAATGTCCCAGGATCTCACCTCCACTTGGTGCTGCAACATGGTCAGGTTAAAGAGGGCAGACCTAGAAGCTGGGAAAACCTCATGATTATTGGTTTTGATACAGCCTTAGGAACCTAGTATGGCATCTAAGTTGAGATAAGCAACAAGCAATTTAGCTGAATTTATTACTCAAAGCTTCCTCAGCATTAATGGAGAATTGTAGAGATCATATTCTAACATCTACTTAAATTTTTTTTAACTGAGTTGCTGTGACTTCTCTCCATGTACTTAATGAGGAGAAAGGGTCTGGCTGCAGAATCTTGATACATCTCAAATTTAAGGTATCATGAAAAGTGTCTGTACCCACTTTTAGCTCTGTAGAAAAGGGTCCACAGACAGAGGAATCCTATACTACAGCAAAGGCTTAATCTGGGTCTTCTAAACATTAGACAAGATGCCTTGTCTACTGTGTCGTCTTTACTCTATAAAATGCTCCCCCACTGCAATCCAACACAGAAGTCTTCCTTTCCCCCAAATCAGGGAACAAAGGAAGAGAAGCTGTCTTTTCATACTGGGTTCCTCCCATTATAAGCTTTGCACTCCTTATTGCTCACTTAATCTGAGGGCTTCGTTTTGCTTTTACTTTTGCAACCTATGCACAAGAAAACAACTCGGGAAAACCACGGGATAAAAGTGTAACTGAAATATACACTGACTGTAAAAAGCCATATGGAAATGTCAGTCTTCAGAGGAATGTACGCTTTCACTAAGTCTTCTTTTTTTGTAATCATCTTAATCAACTTCAGTTTTAACCCAGGTTTTCACTGGCCTGGTTTTTATATTAGCCACCTTTATTCAACAGATTCATCAAAGCTAACTTACCTCCAGTCAATGCCCACAAAGAAGCAAGCAAAGGAAGTGGTTTTCAGTGTCACTTTTTTTAAAAGTGTCTGGGTTAGCAATAAGTGCAGTTATAAATTCAACAAAGTTCACATACTGTGAATGTGTTAAAAGTGTATTAATGTGTTAAAAAGATTAAAGAGCAGCCCAGAAAAGAGAGAGGACAACTGTTCTACCTGTCTGGAGGAGAAAAGTGAGAAGGTTGTTGAGGACAAGAGTTAGATAGGCCTCCATCTGCTGGAACACTGAGAAGGGAGGATTGCCCTGTGCAATCTATAGGCTTACTGGACACCACAGCATGTTGGTAGAAAGAAAAACAGGGTGTCATTATTCACAAGTGCTGATTAACATAAACTCTTTGTGCATTAGCTACATGAATGCTGAATTTACATCTAGAATTTTCAAAATCCAGAATACTGCAATCAAGAAACAAACAGAATGTACAGTTCAAAAAGCCATCGAAGGGGCAGTGTATTGACAAATGCTGTCACCAGACTGGCGAAGCTAATCACATTAAGCTTTACAGTCAGTGGAAAGTTTCTTCCAGAATCCAATTCAAAACATTAAAATTAGGCCCTTGCTCTGAAATAATCTCTCTACTCTCCCTTCCTCTGCCCCTCAACTATAGAGGCAGTATATTGAGATTAGATTTTTTTTTAGGATAAAGTCTTGCAAATATTGCTCCACTCCAATAGTCTGCATCGAGGGTGTAGGGCATGTGCACAGGGGCACACACACAGAGACCACTGAAATTATAATGCAATGCACATTAAGCAAAAAAATTGTCCCTTTTGATAGCATTCTGTAGACACAAGAAAGGAGGTCCAAACTGATCTGTTTTGACATCAAAAGGTACACACATGCACACAAATACACAAACAGGAAAAAGTAAGCATTACTGTGAGTGTTGTTTTCACACAGTAGATATTTCATGTCTAACTGTGTAATTCAATAGATTGGCATTGAAAGCGATACAAGAAGTTCATATTCTTAATAATTAAAAAAAACCCAATCTTGTTTTTATACATCAATCTTGCAAGTTCTTAAAAGTATTACACCCAAAGTACTAAAGATTTATATACCTGCACTCACTGAAGTCCTTACAAGGTGTATGCATTCAAGCAAAGATGCAGATTTCATAAGTGTTCATCCTCCCTGCAGTACTTATATTCAAACAGTGACATTAACAGATATAAACATTCTTCAGAATTTGTGGACCTGCATTTGCATGCATGCATTTGTTGAATCAAGAACAAAGCTAACCTGAAGTCTCTGTACACTATCTGATTTCAAACATAGAAATTATTCATCCAGTAGTCGACAGCGACCATGTTTGATACCAAAATTTTTAGTTAAGATTTTATATAGCACTAGCATATAAGACATTAATGAAAAGAGGAACATTATTTAGAACTGTACTATGAGAAAAAGTACCTTTGAAGAGGCGACCATTCTCCATCTGAATGAGGGTAAGACGCAGACTGAGAAAACGTAGAAACTGCAGCAGCCTTTATGCCAGATACATCATCAACAAAGACATCTGGAACAGGGATCCTACATAAATGGAAAGATGTGACATTTAAAAACCATACTTGATTACAGAACTTTTATATACTTCACATAACAAAAAACCCCTATTGCAGAGAAGAACTAGTGTAACCTGAACTGAGATAAAGGTTATCCAACTCACACCTTCTAGTTCACAGCATGATGTACTTATGTTTTGCATGTCATTTTCATGTTTTTTGTAACTAACATTCCCAACTAACATTAGCTTAAAGCTTTTTCTTAAAGAAACATGTCCATCAGGCACATGTGTTAGAAGGTATGGAATGGAACATTAATCCAGCAGTAGGTTTCCATTATGTATCTCAATTCCACTGTGATACCTTGAACTGTCCAATGGTTCTTTTTCTTCCTCTGAGCTAATCTCTATAGGAAACATGTCTTCATCTTCTGATGTGTCTCCAATGTCTTCTCTTTTCAAGCTGTCTATTTTATGGGTAGACTTCCTCCTCTTTTTCCTCCTTTTTTTCCCAGAGCTACAGACTGCAGATGTTTCAGTAGAAGACTGGGATCCATGGGCTTGGGATGGTACTTGTGAGGATGCACTGGTGTCCAGGTTTCTTATCCTGTCTGTGGAGTTCCTCTTCAGCTGAGCTTCCATTAAAGCAGTTCCCTCAGACAGAATGGGAGATGTAGAGAGATGATAAGGAATTACCTCCTGAGAAAGAAAAAATTTAAACCATGAAACATATTAGTTCCTCCACCAGTCGTAAATCTAGTTCTAAAATCTATGAACAATTGCCAAAATCTAAGCCATTTATTCATCAGAAAACTAGCACAGATTAGGATCATACTGAGCATCCAGATGTCTATAGCATATGAAATTGTTCCATAGCTGCACCTCCTTAGACAAGACAGGAACAATACTCTTAACAAAGAGGATCCTTTGAGCATCTACTACCGGCCAGATTATGGCATGAGGCTCTATCCACTTGATAACAGATATAGAGCAGAAAAAAAATCCTAGTTTATAACCTGAACATTTTGTAAAATCCAATCCTCCTTCCAGTTCAGACAACAGATAGTAGTCAGACAGGTTTATAACTAGGTCACACAAACATTGTCTTATTCGGTCATATATATACATTTTTAGACACTCATGGAAGTATTTCTAGTGATTTTCAGTCACCAAATAACTGTTATCACACAGGAGATTTAAAGATCAGAATATAACCAGTAGTATCATACTCAATGTAAGAATCTGAAAACTCATCCCACTCTGGACAGTGACAAAAATTGTTGGGATATCTGAAGAGACATGCCTGTAGAAAGCTTTTCTTATGCTACATTACGTGTGGACTGTTCAAAATTATTGTGACCATAACTTATATAGGCTAGTATTTAAATCACACAGCTCAAGAGCAGGCATTCTCATTTAAATATAATACCACATGAATAATAGTTGCAAGATCACGTCTTTGGTGAGTACCAGAATTATTGTGTGCACAAATATTTATAGGGCATGTGGACTCTTACTGGCAATCTGCTGAGTGTATATGTTCAAAGTAAAGATACCTGCAAAAAGCAGGTCCATGGACACATTAACCTCTGTTGTACACACCTTTGGAGCATGTGAACCCTGTACATGTTATTTCTGCTCACACACTGACACACACATAAACTATGATTTATTTTTCAGTTATATGATTAACTTCTTTAGATTCTTCCATATCTCAGTAACTGCATAGTATCAAATTTTCATAGCAGAAGATTGTCCAAAAACTTTCAAAACTATAACATGGGTGAAGATACATTTTTCAACAGAATTCCTAAACTCAACACTGACTCTGAAGAGCAGACATCGAATTTTTAACAAATTAAAATTAGCTTTGACGCTTACCTGATCATTATCCATCTCCTGCACAAAAAAGGCCTCTCCATTGTCTCCTAGTTTCATGTGCAAATCTACAGCCTCTCCATTAATTTCTATGTCAACCTGGAAGACAATAAATATACGTCCCTATGAAAATAAAGTTTTAGGTACACAGTTCCTGTTCAGCTATCCTACTGCTGTCACTGGACAAATGATTCTCAGGGAGGTGTAGGAAACCTTATAAAAAACATAAAATAGTGAACTTCTCTGTTTCTCTCCTCACCCCTTCACAAGGCCATCAATTGACAAAATGTTTCTTCTAACTCATTCAGCTCATTGCTGGTTTGCTCCTCTACTCAGGAAGGTTTATAGACATTATATAAAGGTCTGAATCTTTTAAAATGTAACTCCAAATGCTTCACTCGCAACACAGACCTTTTTGCTCTTTAATTCATAGCCTAATTTTGAACTGTGCAAGAAGTACTTTCACAAGCAAGTTCTTAGTATGCTGTGTTTCAAATTCATTAAACTGACTTCTCATTACACTATAGGAAACTCAAATAAGAAAAATCATTTTACATTCTCAATGCAACTCACGTCTCTATTTCTTCTGCACATTTATCTCACTGCTATATAGTCCCAACTGTTTCTCTTCTCAGGATGATCTCTCTGACTATAATCGTTCTTGGCACCAACTCAATTTTCACTGGTTTTTTTTTTTTTTTTTTTTTTTTTTTTTTTTTTTGGAGACTTGGACAAGTCTACATTTATGCTATACTTCAGGATACAGTATGTTATTGTCATGGTAACATTTTCAACTTTTACCCATTCTAAATATTGGAATTCCTTTCTGATTTACATAAGAGTTGAACGAAGTCTGTGATGACATTAGGATCTTTCTGCTGAACAATTATAGCTACATCAGAACCTAGACTATATGTAGTTACAAATTATTTCCTAAAATAATCTGTCGTGCATTACTCACTGGCAACTTTGCATCTGATATCATACTGCTAGGTCATTCAGCCTGGTTACATTTATCTCAAGGTCTTCACTGCTTTTTCTAGCTTCAATTAACCTCAACATTCTGTTAGCTGAAAATATTACTTCAATATTACCTCCCTCTTTGTAACTATCATTGAACATGTTAAACAAAGGGATCTTAATACACTAATGAAATCTAGCACAGGTCCAAATTAGTACATTCAAAATTTTGCTCTATTGAAAATAAATGGTTCAAATGTCATGACTTGCTTTAGTTTTATTATAGTCAATGTCTTACAAATTATGCTTTGAAATGCAAGAATCAGTAAACCATTTTAATTGAACCTTGCATCGATTTGGGCACTTTATAAAGAATGTCAAAAGAAAACCTTGAGTAGCAGACCACAGAACATTTAGTAATTTTCATGGCATTAGAGTTAACCCACAGACAGACATATCAAAATTGACAGTTTTCTTACCACTTTCTCCCTAGAACGCAGAACTCCCATTTTCCCAAAGCGTACATGGAAAGGGGAACACTGAAGATTTCCATCTGGCTGGCGCACAACAATTATATCTATACATCCCGACAATGTGGCTGGGTTTAGTCCCTTATAGAGCTCCTTCACAGTTACAAACACCTGTCCTGCTAACTGTCCAACGTAATTCATGGTTTGGACCTGAAAGGCAAAAGACAGAACAGGTAAGATTTTGATCCCTGCTTTACATTTTAGAGACGCCCGAGACAGAGATTCCAGCAGTGGGATGGGGTATTCTCCTGTTTCACAAATTAACAACTTCACACAGAATCAGGATTTCCCACCTAATTTATTTACAGCTGACGCACATTTATAAAGAGCTATTAAGACAAAAACAAAAGAGAGCTTGTAAGTCAGAGAATTGTAATAACTTTCGAAGTTCATAAAATCAGCTGCATTCAAAACCACTGTCAGACTTTTAGTCTCTGCGGCTCATAAATGTCTCCAAAGCATTAAATCCAAAATAACATCTCCTCCTACCATTTATTGTGCCCTCAACACCAAATATACTTTTCTCATGTATTTCTACACGCTTTAAGGGCAGGGCAAGTGAATGATTTTAAACAGATCTAATTTCCCCTACACTGAAGTCAAAGACTATCTTCCCACTTTACAAGGATTTCTCCTGTTAAAGGATTATTATAATGCGTATGCACAAGAGGTAAGCATTAAGATTTGACAAGCAACCTTCAATCCACAGCATGTGAACTTCAGACTCCTTCCCAATGCAACTTTACTGTTCTTGTTTTAAAACATACTTTTAGTATCAGCAGGTTTATTAAAAATGAGGCATGTGTTGATGGTTGAAGTGATATGCTTTACTTCCCCTGCTCCTGGATTTATTTAGTATTTAGCATTTAGTGTCCTCCTTCTAGTCCATTAATGCATGTGCTCTTCATGATCCACTGATAACACTTACTCCCTCCCCCTAGACGGGACAGCATGCATACATACTTAGACATACTTAAAAATTCAGAAACTCTTTTAAGGGCTCTCAAAATATGAATGAATTTAAGCTGATACCTTCCTGCACAGCAGAGATTTTAAGGACTTCCAATGTCCATTGTTTCCATTATTTTTTCAACACCTCTTGCAGATTCTAAAATACTGATTTCAGCAAATTCCCTGTGCACTCAGTATAAAGCATATGCCTCACATACAAGTTCTTTGCTAGGCATCACCTGGACATCAATAAAGAGATATTTGCAGGGTAGGCAACACTAAAACTCCCCCTGATGGTGATGAGAACAGAACTGAGCTCAGTCTAAGAGGCAGTCAGCACACTGAGCTGCACAGCGTATGTTAAGCAACATCAGCTGCTACAACAGACTCTCTTTCAGCTGTGTTCTTTCATAAACAACAAAAAAAAGGTTTGAAATGCTGTAAAAATAGCTTAAATTTTTAACTGTAATTTATACTTAGAAACAAAAAACTATTAAAAGCATACAGTGAAAGAATTACAATAAAAAAATTAGAAAGTTAGGAAATGCTGCCATTAAGCTTGCTCTCTTCATGCATAGCTGTTCTAATTAATTAATGATCACCTGTGTTTTTTTCCAAAAGTCCCTCCACATAGGATGGACTGAAGCTTTGCTTTCTCTGTTTCTACTGCAATACATGGGTATATGGACACAAACCATTCTCTGAAGGAAGAATTATTTATGTTCTTTTGGGCTTTATGATACCCATCACTACATTGCCCCTGGAAAGTGATGGTGGTATCCCCACACGACAAATGGGGAGCTGAATGACAAAAAGATTAACATTCAAACTAGGCACCAATTTTTGGAAACCAAAGAGACTTTTAAAAAGTATTTAGTATACAAGATATTAACTAATGAAAGAACAATCTCTAAACACTCTTTGGAGAAGCGTTTCTGCACAGCCTTCAATTAAGGGATCTAGAAAGTGCCAACTACTGAAAAGTCAACACACAAAAACTTCGTGGTAGAAAGAGCCACGATTATATTCGGTTCTTCAGCATTCAACTGGTATTAGCACTTCTGGGGTCCTATTATACATCAGAAACATGCCTTTTTGAATTCAAATCCAGTGGTAAGCTGTTTCATAGGGAAGTGCACTTGAAACTCATGCTGCACCCTATGCTGTGTCATGGAACAACAGGTTGGAACAGACCTGCAGAGGTCACCTAGTCCAAAAGTCTGCCCAAAGGAGGGGCAATTTGGACCAGGTTGCCCACCACCTTGGTCTCATTGAGTTCTCAATGTCTTCAAGGATCGAGATTTTTCAGCCTCCCTGCACTCCTGTTCCTGATTGCCTGTCTTTACAGCAAAAATTTTCTTCCCAGTATCGAATGTGAATTTCCCTTGTGGCAACTTGTGCCCATTGCCTCCTCTCCTATCACTGTGCACCCTAAGATTCTGGCTCCGTTTCCTCTATACCCCCCAACAGGTAACCGAATACCCTGAAGACTGAACAAAACTAGCTCTCCCAGACTCTCTTTTTAAGTCATAAACTCTTGGCCACCTAATTATCTTGGTGGCCATCATCTGATCTCTAAAAAGCTGACACCACACAGGCATAGGCCTAAATTCAGAAGTGAGCCTCCAGGGTGACAGATGACAGCAAACTTTCAAAATTATCCCTTCGCTTTGGAAAAATACTTCACAGTTTCTACTGTGGATTTTTCTAACCTAAAGCATGTAAGAAATACATTTCTTATTGAGCCAATATTAAATTTAAAGATGGCTACAATTAGACTCAAAATTATACGGTGTAGTTCACCGCAGTTAATGCTTGGTCTGCTGAAGCAACAAAATGAATTTCTAAGTGCAAAACAGCCACAACTTCCTTGGTGGGGAAGGAGTTGCTGGGACAGTACATACACCCCACTGTTCGGGAGAGTTATGGGCAAACAATCCAAATATGAGGACCCATACATCCTCTTAACAAGTTACACCAGTACATCTCCTAAAAAGAGAATTTTGCAACTAATCTTGTTCACAACAAATCTTAGCTGCACTGCCTGCACTGTTTTAGGACACAGAGATTATTTTTATACTCGTGAATTAAAAAAGTTAAACACCATCCTCAAGCTCTGAGGCCAATTGGCACAACACAGCTTGCTTCCATACAGTGAAAGCCTCTGATGCCTTAAAAAGAAAGTGCTGCATCAAGCCATTAGCTGGTGATGGACACTCCTTTAAAGCTGGGCTGAACCTGACCTGTGCAACAAAACCACTGCAGAATTAAAAGAAAAACTGGAAGACTCATCACATAAACCCCACTTCCTCAGGAAACTAGACAGAAATGGTTTTGTATTTCCAATGTAGCAAACAAAAGATTCTGTAGCAAAAAGGGGGGAGAATTCAGAAATTGGACATGGATGTAGGCCCTTTATCCTAACTTTTATACATGCCAACCAAAGCTGAGACTGTAGTCTGGGGTTTTTAAGTTTATACTCCAAACTTAAAGTCAGTCCATACTCTGCCAGTACTCCAGAAAACCAAAAATTCCTCAAACCCCAGAGAGACTGCCTGTGGTTTTGGACCAACATTTCACTCTGGGTACTCCAAAAAGTCTTTCACTTACTAAATGGGCAGCAGCAACTTCAGCAGTAAACATGAGTTTACGTCATGGGTTAAACCCTCAGTGCCTGCCTGATAATTATATTGAATTTAGTAAAACTCTTCTTCTCACACCATGCTAGTGGACATAGAATAGAATATTTTTTTGCTGCTGGGAAAATTCAGAATCCTTTTGATCTAAGCTCTCAGCAAGTGAGAACAGTATGTACTGCTTCTGTCAGGACTGTCAAATGGCTTGAGTTTTGGTCTTTGCCAGGAGACACTCCACAGCTCTATATCATGCATCCATTATGAAATCAGAAGTATTTTGTAGTATAATTCTTAATGTCAATTTAACTAGCATCACCTGCCAGGAAGCTCAGAAAATTTCCAACTCTTTTGATGGAAAGACAGCAGTCATTTTTCAGAATTGATCATCCTATGGAAAAACAAATGAAAAATAAATAGCTAGGTGTTCCCTTATTACTTAACTTAGCAAAGATTGACCTAACAATATTAATTCATTACAGTCCTGCTCTACTGGCCCCCACAGTAAAATCAAATGCACCATCATCTGGATAACCCACTTCTTTCATACACGTACATGTCCTCTAATTCCACAGAAAAAGCTAGTAATTGTGCCCTTAGTGGCCCAGTTTTTACAGCCCAGATCTTCCTCATACCACTTCATCTTTCTTTGCTGCATTTCATAAAATAAAATACTGAAAGTCATATGACTAAAGCTTTTTTTCCCTTCGCCAGACCCAGTGCCTCCTCAGGTGCCACAACACAAGACATAACAGGTTAGACATCCACACACACCCAAATTACTTAGGGATACAAGTGCTATTACAGTCAGTTTTTGAAAAAAAACACAGGATTTAGGTAGCATGCCATAAGGGTAATTAAAAACGACAGGAAAACACCAGTACAGAAGATTCTGAAGAGCAGGACAAACATCTCTTGGGACTGGTTTAGGAACAGGCAACTGTAATCTCTGAGACAAAGACTATCACTGTGCCTGTGTCCAAAGCAGCAAACCAAATCGTATCACATCACAGACCTGGCCAGTACAATTTGGTCATCTATACCGAATCTATTTAAATTACAAAATCTGTTTCTGGTACATTTTAGGCACAGATCAAGAAGCACTCTCCCAACAATTCCCAGGCACAGCTAATGAGATAAAATGGACTAGGGACTACTCCCAAGGCTAGTTTAACAGTCATCTCCTTCTTAAAGGTTAAGAGAGGTTTATAGAATAGTTGTGAATAGATAATGGTAGCTGGTCTGGCCACCGTTGACTTTGGCACCGTTTAGTTCACTAGCAGGGATGTAACATTTAGGTCCCTTTCAGCCCCTTTTTCCTCCAGTTCTACAGTTATGACTCTGTTGTGGTTTTGTAGACCATGAGAGGAAGATTTGCAGCAATGTAAACATAACACAGACCAAATGCTTAGCACAGAGAAAAACAACACATGCAGACACACCTTTCAGCTACACTTTTAATACCTGATGTCATGATGGGACCCTGGTTCATGACTGAAGTGATAGGTACAAGCACAAAACAAATTGACTTTCCTAAGAACTTCTCCATTCAACTTGTGAAATGGTGAAAGGGAGGCAAAAATTGATGGGCTAACATTCAGTTAAAATAAATAAATCACTACAGCTCTGCTGCTGACACTGAACCTATGACAGTTTTAAAAACCTGATCCATCTGGTCCCCTGATCTGCCCTTGGCTTCTGTTTTGAAGATGTAAAGCTTGAGAGAGACCAGACTATATTTGGGAACCAGACTGTGGCCCCTTCGAAAGAATTACTCCTCATGTACAAAAAAAATAAATTATTTCAATGGCTCCTGGGTACTGCCACTCTATTATTACATATGATTTATTTCCTTGATTCTGAAGCAGTTCAGTTTTGTTTCCAGTATTGAACACCAACTCCCTCTATGGCAGTTAATGGAATTTACTATTGACATATTCTTTACCACAAAAAAACAGTATCAGAGGTTACATTCTAAAAAAGATTTATGATAAAAATGTAGGGATTTTTTTCAAAACTAAGCTTAGCCTTCATGTCTGTACCACAACCATAGTAATGACGACTTCGTAACTACAAAAGCACATAATAAATATCATTCTATTATTTTTAAGAGGTATTAGTAAATGGTCAACACACTATAAAGTCACTAATGCTGTGTGACCATCACATTCAAACCTCTTAATATTTTAACTCATTTCAGGTTGGAAACTGAAAATCATTAAGAACTTTCAAAAGCCTTTTTCTTAACTATGTGTTAGCTCCCACATCAATCTAACCCAAGGTCACTCTCATGAATTCCCATCCCACTTTTTCCAGTAAATTCCCAGCCAGAACCCCAAAGTTGTACTTAGAGCAAAAACAGAGCCTGGATTTACTTTCTCTAGAGAAGCAGTGAAGACATGCACAGGACTTCAGGCGACCTCAGTTTAGGTTCCTGCTTTCCTACAAGATTCCCACACAGCCTTGGGCAAGTTACTAAGGCTTAGATTTTAGAGGGTGTTTAACTCCCCTTGGCCTCATGCAGGTTCTATGACTGTGGCTGTACTTCAACTGCAGCATGCCAAGCGAGACACAGACAAGCACTCTCCTTGCACATTCCTTTTTCCTGGGAAAGGAAACCTGGACACATGACCCACAAGGGAGCCACAAGCAGCCATGACCCTGATTTGGGCAAGGTGTGGAGGGAGAACTCCAGAGTACTCTGCTAAGCAGGGTAATTCCGGTTGTTCTGTAAATAGGAGGGTGAGCTCCATTAAAACATGATTATGTGCCCATTTTTTCCCATAGCCACAGCAGCATGGGACAGACTCATTCCTGCAAGTGATATGATAATACGTCTGGTCAATCAGGAGACAGGTGCAATTCACTTGCATGTCCCAAACCAGAAAGCAAAATGCAGCATGTGACTGCTGGCTCTACACCAGAGTAAGAATATTTTGCTTCCTTCCAGCTAAATCTCCAGAAATATTTTAGGTTTGAGATTATTCTGGGCTTAATTCTATTAGGAAATATTTGATTCCTACTCCAAGTTATCCAAGGCCAGTGCCAAAACCCACGATTTCTTATAATGGCCAGAGAGTCAAATGGATCAAATGTCAAACTTATCTTCCAAGCTGCCAGTTCCTTCCAGAACCCATTCACTCATAGTCACTCACAGATAAGGACTCTGAGATGACTTTTCACTTGGTTCTGGTATTGCACTATCTTTCAAATAGTTGAAACATTACTTGGTCCAATACTTCACCAAGTCCCCATACAGGACAGAATATTTTCTTGAGAGCAGCTATAGTCAAAAATTCAAACTGAAGACTAAAAATTTGCCTTTAATGAATCCTCATGTTCAAAAGAAGGGAGGACTGGTCTACAGTCACACAGTCAGGGCTGGCACTCAAGAGTCCAAGAGAACTATTTCATGGCCAGTTGAAGTTTACAACCATGGTCCCCACACTAACATCCCAACCATACCTTCCTAACTCTCCCAAATCTTGCCCTTGGGTCAGCACTGAAAACTAACACTACTAAAGCCATAGAAAAATAATTTCCAGATGGATCAATGGAATGATCTGACTCACCACATAACCATACAATTGCTACTATTAACTAAAGAGAGAAGCTGAGAAAGAACCGGTGGTGGGTAGCACCACGGACACTTCTTTTTGGCATTTCAGGCAATCTTGAAATCATACCTCAAGACTTCTCCTTTCCCAGAGATCTCGTGGACACCCTTCCACATTGTCCTTGGATCTCTCTGCACCTCAGCTTCCCAACCATACAGTGCTTCCCTCCTCATGGAGACACTCTGAGGGAACATACACAAGGGCTGACGGCCCTTTGGACTGACGTTGCATAAACAGGATCAAACTTTACAACAAGTTGAAAAGTACAGACTAATGCCTGAAACCAAGAATTTCTGAAATAACTGGAGAATATATGGTAAGTCATGTATTGTGCTGCCCTGTGCTACTGTTGTGATGTCAGAGGAGGAACATAAATGAGGGTGGAAGCACAGCAATAGCTCTACATTATCCTGATAGCACATGTGACTTGGCACTCCTTCTTTCAGTGAGATTGGAAAACAAATTTGCCCATTAGGCCATAACTTTATATTTTCTACATTTTCAGAGTTTAAAGTAAGTTCTTACTTTATTACTGCTTTTGATGATGGCTGTGTGTATGCATATTTATAGATAAACAAATGTATGCACCTGCACATCCTCAGGTATGGAAATGGGACAAAGACCAAAACTTATCCCACTCCCTTACAATAGACCACACTGAGTCAGGTAAGTAGATATTATCAAGTAGTCTATATTTCGCATTAATTACTTTCTGCTTTCCTGATAGCTCCAATTATCTAAAACCATTAGAAGCTATTTTCATGGCTTTTTGCCTAAAAACATATCATAGTTATGCTGAGTCTTTCCCATCTTATCTCCATTGTCTCCCCACTTTTTCTCCAGTTCTTTTCATGGAATTAGCCTTATTTTATGGTAACAACCATCTGACTTCTAACTGGGTACACTGATGACAGCAAAATCTTATCTATGTACACTAAACGTTTGCCAGTATTTGTTTCCAAGAACAGCAGAGACACCAGTAAAGCCACCCAGAAAATAAAATAAACAAACCACTCCAAAACACCCTCCAGACTGCAAACCAAATCAGAGGTCAACAGATCTACCGAGGTTGATGACTTTACATGTGAAAGGAAAAATGATCTGCTAGTCTGCAACATCAATGCTGAGATCCTGTTATCAGTGCAGGCCTCTACACAATTCCGCTTTTTGACTGAGATAACAAAAATTTAACAGTTTCGTCTATTCCCCGCCTCCACAAGATGGCATTCCTTATTCTTGAAGGTTGAGGAAATACACTAATCAACAGAAAAACTAATAGCTGTTCTGGGGCGGGTGTGTGTGTGTGTGTGTGGGTGTGTGTGCGCGCGCACACGCGTGTGTGTTTTCTTTTTGTTTATGGGAAGGTTTGGGGGTTTGGGGTTTTTGGTGGTTTTTTTGCGCAACGACAAAACTGTGCCAATTTACCGCACCGAACCAGTACTGTCCGAGTGCCCTCAACGGTATCACTTCTAAAAACTATCTTACTGTATTGAGTTAGTGGCTATATAGGTATCCGCTTTTTACTATGCAGTTACTGGTGCTATTCTTCTTTTGTAATGTGAATACAGACTTCCTTGATTGAAAAAATAAAAGGGAACCATTAGGAAGCAGCCGTTACCTGTAAAAGATAACGAGGCAGGAAAAAAAAAAAAAATAAAAAATTAAAAATCCAACTTTAGGGGGGGAAAAAAAATAAATCCTGTATGCTGGTACTCCGTAGTGTTGAAAAGGTTACGTCACGTTAAACGAGCACGTTATACATCCGAACTTTTGAATCCG